GTAATGCGGACACCGGTGGCGAGATAGTTATACAAGATAAATTCTTTAAGCTGCCGACATTTAAGTACTTTTGGGTACATGATGACTGATATACCTTCGACTAATAGTAATTTATCTGTTTGACTAGATGTAATGTTCAACGAGGATATCACTGCGTGCTATAGTGTAGAACTGCGGTATTCTACCCAGCCAAACTGTGCTCGCGTACAATCCTGATGCCAAGGACGACGAGTACTGGTCTTTGATAGCCTTCACTTTGAATCTTGCTGATGTTCTCGAAAGTGCACCATCTCAGCAGAGATGATGGGATTTCTCCTTTCATATAACATGCATCGATTCACACCCAATATCACCTCTATATTTCGGAGGCAAGATAAATGGCCTTGACCCTCCTTCAAGGTGGCCTTCAAAACCTGCAACTGCTCTAGCCCAAGATCACAGCTTTGCCTCCTAGCTTTTTGAGTTTAGAATATCCAACCAGTTCAATATATCTTGAACATCCTTTTGCGCATTGGCCATAGCGCAATGCTTTATGGTGCATAGATGGTTTGAAATAGTTCCGTTAATATTGCATCCTCTTGAGGAATTTTTTCTTGTATGAGTCGACCAGGCTCCTGGTGTCAAGCCATTGGGTACTGACCATCAGAAGCATATCCCATATCCTGATGTCATCCATTGTCAGGTTCATCTGTCTTAATGCATTTCTCACATAGTACAAAATGAAGTTTGGGGAAAACATTCAATCATACTATTTAGTGTGGATATCACAAGAGTTTTTTAAAAGTATCACAGAAAAGTTAAGATGCCTGCAGACTAATTTAATATTGTCTTTTGACTCTTTGAAAATTAAACCCTGTTTAGTAGCAAATTCATCAATGTGTTGAAAAAATGGAGTATCTGCTTTAAGGTGCTTGGAATGGTTGGTAATTTTCCCAGGGACTATCTCCAATGGACAAAGTGTCTTGTCAAATTCATTACTCTTGTGAGAAGGGTGACTGTAGGATGATGCCGGTATCCAAAAACAAAAACACAAAAGCAGTGCGCGACCCAAAAACAGTGGGATTAAAAAGTAGTGAAGGATTTGGTTAGTTGTGAGGAAGTCAAAGTTAAGAATAATCCTCTAATCTCCAATGGCTGATCAAACTCTCCACATGGCTGATCATCAAGCTGATAGTGGGCTCAATCTGTTGCTTGCACTTCTTTGTTACTCTTTCCTTCAGTTATGTCTGCATCTTGGATACTATCTTCTCGTTCATTGCCTCCGGCCGGAGGCCTCTGAGTGCCCCAGCCCTTGGGGAGATCGTCTTCCACTGGCCACAAGCTATCTACCCTAAACTGGTCATTCGCAGGCCAGCTTGTAAATAAACTTGAATCAGGTTGGGTGGAAACGCGTATCCTCGATGCCCCTTTCTTCTTATTTTTCTTTGTGGAAGGCACAAAAGGGTCATCACCAATGTCAAGGCTTGCTGTGTCAGTGCACTTTTTCCTCTATTCGTATTTCATCCTGGTATGAGGGGAGCTTGGGTAATAAATAGTAATCTTCATCGTCCTCATATCCGACATCTTGCTCGTCCAAAGTCAGCGTTATGTCTCCACAATTATTGAGTTCGTAGGATAATGGGTCTGCAATACCCGCCATGCCTTCAACTACTGGTATGGAGGGAGGAATTGAGGAAGGATGGGCCAAACTTTTCGGGGCGTGTGATTTTGATCGATCGGCCCACTTGCAACTGTAATGTGTCAAAGGCTATTATTTCCTTCCCAATCAGCAATGGAAGTGAGCTGAGTCATCCGAACCCAGCAGCAAGCTTCCTCGACAGCATCTTGAAGGCGGTCGGGTCATCCCACGCCTTTGTATCTAGGAAGAGCAAAAATTGAGACACTTTTGTTTTGAAAGGTCTATCTATGATTACAAGCAAGTAGAGAAGGATATTAGAGGGGGAAATCAAAGAAATGAAGGAATGCAGAAAGTGCCAAAGTCTCCCACACCAGTTGCCTACCGACGGATCTCAGCCAGGAGCCTGGCCATCGCGACAGTTGAATGTTACAGCATAGATAACATTGTGACAATTGAATGTAAAAACTTAAAATAATGCCATGTGACTTGCGGGCTGGCCCGCGAGCGAGTGATTCTATATTTACCTTGTAAGTGCTCCAACAATGATATGTACTTTCATGGGAGAGAGAAAACATTTTAACAGTCCTGTAATATGCTTATATAACACCAAGTTTGGTAGCTCGCAGCACGAGCCAAGAGGCCAGTGCTTGGTGTAGATCTATTTATACCTGATCCCACAACAGACCATGTGTGGCCTACATGATAAATGAGGGGGCGTTAAAATCCATGGGCCCGAATAAGGTACGCGATGGTCTACGTAGGTTTTGTTATGATCTGTTCCAAGCAGACTATACGCCTTGGTGCGCGGGAGCTGGAGAGTTGGACGATATGGCACAACATGTGCACAATGACCTTCAAATTCTTGGTAGAAGCCGTGGTGCCCTGGCTGAAAAACGATCATTTCTTGCGGACATTTTCCACACCGCATACGACACCGTTAAAATGGGGTTGGATGGAAACTACGAGGATAAATTCTTTGGGGTTATTGAGACAGATGCTCCAATAGAGTACGACAAAAATGTGCGACGGCTTAGGGCTGTTATTCAGCATCTTAATATATCCTTTGCAAGGAAAATGAGCCAAACTGGACCCAAAGATCAAATCGAAAATCCGTCATTAACCGACTTTGGTGAAGAGTCTACGGCGTCTTCTATTGAGATGGAAATCGACGAAGATTCCCAGTCATCAAGAAGTTCAATGGAGTCTCTGAAAACGACAATAACAATTGAAAAGGTGGTTCAGATGCTGGGGAGAAGTCGTGGCCGAGAGATTCCTGGAACATTTAATCCTATGCTTATTAGTCATTTATTCTGGGAGCAATCAGAAGACTGGGTTGCAATAGCTGAAAGGCATATTGTGAGAGTTCATGCGGCCTGCACAAGGTTTCTACACTTCATCTTGGACCACGCAACAGCACCAGAAATCAAACAGCGGTTGTTTGACTTTGCTGTAGCTCCGGTAATGAAGTCAATTCACCAGGCTGCCTTAGATGAACTACGTAAGGTCGAACAGGACAAGAATCGGCATCCGATCACTTACAACCACTATTTCACAGACTCTCTTCAGAAGGCTAATCAAGAGAGCTATGCAGCTGGCATTCAAGACTAGCTAAAAAAGCCACCATTGATGTGGATGAGAAGACATGGACGAGTGGTAAAGGTTATGAGACGAAAGGCTATGTTGACCCTATCATTCTGAATGGAATCCTTCCACAGGCTGTAAAACAAAATATGGACAAATTTTCCGCTGAACAGGCTGTCAATGCAAGTAATGCATACTATAAGGTATACAAGTTTCATTCGTTTTTTTATAACTTTACTGATTGTATGGAATAGGCAGAGCGCAAGTATTTTATCGACGTGGTGGCTAAGCAAGTGGTTGAACGACATCTAGTTGCTCCTTTGGCAGGGGTTTTCTCGCCAAGAGTGTTAGCTTGCTACAGTGATAAAGAGATCAATTTTCTGGCAGCTGAATCTGCGGAGGTGGTACAACTCCGGCAGCATTTAGAGAACAAATATGGTATGCTGCAGCAAGGTCAAGAAGCTTTTCGGATGGCAATGGGGCAATCTGTAGGGCTAGCATGAAGCTTCACTAGGTGAAGATGAAATCATGGCTTAAGAAGGAAAATAACCATACCGGAATCGCGGAGACTTTAACTACAGTTGTATTACTAAAGCTTGATTTTTCAACCTCGATTCAACGTATTGAAATGATTTAACCTATTAGGTGAGTATATTGTGGGTGCAGCTCAAGAAATTCAGAGAACAAATAAGGGGTTCTTGTTATGGCGCTTGCAAAAGCTAAACATCTAGCTTTAGCATCTCATGCTCAGTAGACACTTTCTCTCTTGAATCTGCAGCTCACTTTCTTCTCTCTATTCCATTTTCTTGGGCCCGCGCGCCTGCAAAGACCTATCGCGAGGTTGCTGCGTTCAAGTACAAGGGAGTTGAATCTGTCAAACTTCTGTAGCTTTTCAAGTCTCTCCACAGCCAACCACAGGATCCGATCACCGAGGGTATCCTCGGACGGCAACTCGCTTTCCGAAAGCTCCAGCAGGTCACATACCACTGTATCCGAAATATTGTTTCCCAATGCGTCGCAGCTCTCATAGACAATTCTCGCTGCAGCTTCTTCCATGAGGGGACACAAAAGTCTCTGACCAAGAGCGTAGACACGTGTGAAAAGCGGGATAGCAGTCTCGTGCAATGCGGACGGTTCGGCCTGATGCTCCCAACGGTCTCGATACAGCCACTCAACGAAAAAGCCAAAAACGTCAGGGTCAACTTCCTTTAGGTCCACTTTCTGTTCTTGGCCTTCGGCGAACCGGTTGCTTTCCAAGGCCTTCTCGAAGTAGGTGGAGGCTCGAGTCAAAAGACGTAAATGCAAGTAAAAAATCTGCGGTGAGGCAGAGGCTGTATGGCTGACGCTGACTGGAATGGTTGGTGAACCTAGATCCCTATTGTTCTAGATTAGCCGTCTATAAAAAAAAGCACAGTAAAGTGTGAAGTCCCTACTCAGAGAATTTGCTGACGCGTTCGTCGCTGCCCATTGGTGAAGCACCTTCTGGAGCAACTGCATCTTTTCTAGGAGGCGGCTCCCCATCTGTGCTGAATGACATTGTGGGGGGGGAAATATGCGATACTGGAAAAAATTTGGGCAAATTACAGTGGAAAGCCCTGTGGTTTTGATAACCCCACGCTGGGAGTTGTCTTACCATGGGTAGTAGAGTCCCTCACGGCCTCTAGGTCGTACCGTGATGTTAATGACATCATGAAGGGCTAAATATTACCAATACTGACACACCAGGCATAAAGGATATAAAATCAAATCGCAACCCGGAACTGATCTTTTACCAAGAGATTGACCATAATACGGCGCAATTCATAGGATCCAAAACCAGAACCGCAATCAGATTGGACCAGGTACTCTTTTTCAAGTTACTATTAAACAGTATGATCCTCAAACAGGGCTGCAATCCAATCCGTTCATGAAAGACCCTTGTTCCGGCTCGATCCAAGACGTGGCAGGTTCGCGTGATGATACCCCGCATCTAAGATTATCAATGTATAGTAGCGTTTGGTTCCGTTGAGCCTATAATGATGTCCTGTTATTTTTGACCTCAAGAAAGAATGATGTTTACAAGTAGATGATATCTCCAAGGAACTGATATTTGCACCTTAAGAATATTATGCCTGTGGTGATATTCAGTGCCTTCTGATGTTAGTATGAAAAGATTTAGTTGAAAGGTAATGTTGTTTTTATTTAATATCATCATCTAGTAATATCTCGCTATTTCTAATATCAGAGACCTTTTTTGTAAAGGGTCTATTTTAAATTTTAACCTTTCCACTTCCCAAGTAAGGAAACCCCAGAGATTTTGACAAAGATACCTCACGGGCCAAGAACTCAAGCGGTAAGATGGATTGCCCTCAGCAATTTCAAAGTAGCTGCGGATGGGAAATTAGTCTTGGGGAAGGGGCTGGGTGAGTCAAACTAACTGTTATTTCTTAGAGCTGGCGGCTCTTCCCATATTGGGGATTCTTTTAGTCCTTGTCCGCGGAACAATGAGAATCGCTGGAGCCAAAGTGACCGTGCGCAAGAGGGCCTGGTAGTTGATTGGAATGGAGGAGCAGACACAGCAGCAGAACACGGCCCAAACAACGAAGATACATCTCCTCAGGGCTCAACAGGACAAGGTACAATATCAATGTTGTATGGAGGAAGTTTTGTTTGCTAAATTTCGCAGGCAACGAACACGCTGCACCCAGCCCGGGCAATGGGTACCTTCTAGGACCAACGCACGGTGCGGGTCTGGTAGTGTCGAGGAACGGAATGGCGGCTAGCAACGGCTTTGGTAAATGAAGCGAACAGTTTGTGAGACGAGAAGCTAATTTGTCCAACATTACAGGCCTAGGGCGCACAGCAAGCAACCATGGCCTTCCAGGAGGACAAACTTTACAAAATCCGATCAACGAGCAAAGCAACAGACTAGTTTCTATTTCCCTGGGAGCTTCGCAGCGGCTCCCGCCAATAGCAGTCGTGACATCAGGCACACCAAGAGGAGAGGGTTGGAACGAAGGTTCTTGGAGTCACTTTCGTAGTGGATTTGCTGCTAGAAATCTGGCCCCTTCCAACAACTGGCCGATGGTGCCGGCCCCTATACCTGGCACCTTCACCTCTAATTGGTCGACGAATAATTCACTTATACGTCAAGAAGCTTTTGTCGTCGAGGCGCAATCAAACAGGTTCTCTGCACTTCCTCCCCTGCCAATGGGTAACGTGACGATAGACCACCGGCTGTGCGATGCACCTTTCACATCAAATGGCCGGCCTGCCTGGCAATAAGCTAATGATTGAGTAGGTGTGTTGCCCCAAGGACCACCCACCGGTACCGCTTCTCATACCGAACATTCGACTGCCTTTCCACCCCCTGAGAACCCCGATCATGACAACGGTAGAGCGCTAGGACGCGGACCGAATCGTAATGACCCATTTTCACTGAATGCCCCAGGAAATGGACTCGCCTCACACGATTCGAGCGGCAGGCTCGAGCAGAATCAGGAACAAGCTCACGACGCAATAAACCCGACGGCTTTGGAAAGCCGGAGTGAAACGGGTAGCAATGGTAAGCCCAATACTGGCGGTACAGCAGATCAGGGACTAAAGCTAACCCATGCGCCCTGAAGGTCGACCTCAAACAATAGATGATGACCCTCAGAGTGACCGAGCAGGACACGATGCAACCAATGAGCGAATGAACAGACCGCCGCCTTTGTCCCGTAGAAATGGCCAACAGCTCCCGCCGATAACATCACTCGCAACATTCAGCACACCAAGAGGAGAGGATCTCAATGCTGGTACAATTCCAGTTGTGGTATTGGACAACAACCCAAGTTCTTCAAGTAGATTTGCCACCAACAATTCGGGTGCAACCCCCCAACCATTGGCAACACCGTGGTCACTCCCAGCCCCCACACCGGGCACCTTGACCGCCAATTGGCCAGCGGGCAGCCCGTTCGCAAATCCTGGTGCTTTTGGTGTAAAGGGTCGATCGAATGGATCCTCTGGGCTTCCTCCGCCAGCGGGTAGCGTTACGACGGAATATGGATCCGGCAACGAGCCTGCCACCTGGGTTTCAAATGGCCGGCCTCTGCTCTCAGGGCCGACGCGATACGGCGCGACGATGGGCATCCCACATGGCTACGATGCTTTGACCTTGAATGGGACAGGGGGTCAGACGGCAAGTCCTATTGAAAACGGTAAGTCCAAGAAATGACCTGCACTGGACCGGACCGGAATAGACAGAGCTATAAACAACTAACATATCTATAGGTCAACGGAACATAATACACCAAGGTCAAAATATTCCCGCAGGCTATCAACCTGCTACCCTGGGAAACACACCGTGGCAACCACCGGCGGAGGATTTGATTAGCTTTGATTTCGGAAGCCCGGCCAGTTCGTTTCAAACTAACTTGGATTTATGGCCCAACCAGGTTCAAAGCGAGCCTTTATTGTCGATGAATGGTCTTCACGCCACAAATCTTGACTTATGGCCCGGCCAGGTCCAAGGTACATTTCCGATGTCAATGGACGGTTTTTACGCCACAAATCTCGACTTATGGCCTGGCCAAGTGCAAGGTGCAGCTTCGGTATCAACGGATGGTTTTCACATGGATCTCGACATATCATTCAATCAAGTTAGTCATATTCGATAGCGTACCTTATGGACCCTTCAGAATAACCCATCTTTGGGCACGCTGCTGAACAACACAGATTGTAGCCTGAGACTAAAGTCTTTACGCCATTTATCGTCGTGAGCCTTCACACTTTTCCCCTCTCAAATTGGACAACAATTCCTCCAGCTTGTTTCCCCTCCTCCATGCAAAACTCCATAGGTTTCGACACAAACAGCACTTTGCCCCACTTCCAGTCAATAATAATTTGTTTTCCGTCTTGCCTTAGACATACTCTTGGGTTATTGATCGACAAAAGTGGAATGATTAATGTATCGTATTGGGCTCCAGCGTTGAAAATCTTCGTTAACATTGCTCCATGCGAAAATAGGATGGGGGTATTGTGCAAGGATTTTTTCTACGAAAACAATTAGACCTACTCTACCAGGTGCACGTTTCCATATCACACACCTCTTTGTATACCCTGATTGCCTCTTGCACGATTGGCTGGCAAGCAAGAGGTAGGTCGAATCGCCACGACTCGTTTTTTGGGTGGTCACGGAGAAATTTGTATATTGCATGAATTGCTTCGTCCGCAACGGCTTGCGATATCGTTGGTAGTTGTAAATATTCGATCATATTGTCAGTATTTTGCATTTCAACTCTTGAGGTTGGTTAGCACGATCGCGCGTGTATCCCAGATCGCTTACTGGAAATAACCCAAGTATTTATGCTTAAGCATAAACCGATTTTCAAAACCGCAGGCCTCCTTTATAACGTGAACAATTTTCGCTTGCTGTGACGCTGGAGTTAAGGTGACGATGAGTGTGGCGTAAATTGGATTAGTTCTTGAATGAGGGGCAACACCAACCTCACGTGAGAGGTATATCTCCAATAAAAAGACTGTGGAATTTCATTCGCGCAAAATATGTCTTGTTCATAGCAGATATTACGGGGTCATTTCGCTGAGAGGCTATCTTTAGATCAAAATATTAAACTACTCCCACCATCGCCAGTATGTTTCGGCCTTCGGGTGTGAATTGTGGTACTTACAAATGAAAGCATGATTAGGCATTATTGGGTGCCGTTGGCTGCCTTCCGCGGTCCAAAAGGCTGTTGGGCATCTACCATAAATCATATCATACTCAAGAGGCGTTACAAAAATTTTACTTCGCACTGTATGGATGATATTTTATTCCGCATATTCCATTATGGCAAATGCAGATGCAGCGGGCCGTCGTTGCATATGTATGCATATAGTTTTCAATGTCAAATTGCTGCGTCAGCCATGTGATTTGCAGCTGAAGTCATTCGGGTATTTTCGGAGTAAATGTCGACTAGAGAGGGTTACATAAGCTATCTCGATATTTCTCCTTGATAAATCCTTTACAGCCAGAAAAAGAAAAACTACCCATATGGGCTGCAGTTGCATATGTAGGCACGATGAGCATAGTTTCCGACTGTCCCTTTCCTACATGGCAATCAGAAACACCAAGTGGAGTTGGTTCACCTGAATGTCGTCCTTGATATTGAATCAATCATGAAGGTTTGCGTTAGCGAGACAAACTCTTCAAATTTGTTGGAAATCGTCGCGGCGCCAACCAGCAATTTCAGAACTTTACTAATACGGATTGGGATATTGCGGCGCAGAAATATTCATTCTGTGCCTTAGAGATTTCTTTCCTGCCAGACAGTCACGTGATAGCGAGTTGGCTGCAACTATCTTCCAATAACCCCTTTAACAAGAGGATATGCAGCCAAATCAAATAAATTTCATTTTGTATCTGATCCTCCAAATTCAGCAGCCTTTTCTACAATGTCAAGATGGCCGAGCTTTCTAAAGCTGACCGCTTGATCATTGAGAAATTTTCCCTCCAGGACTCGTTAGACCATCTTCACGAACGTCTCGAGGCAGCTGACCGAGCTTCAGCAGACACGGTCCCTGATACAGCCGATGATAGCAGGAAGAAGGGCATCACGATGCGATGCCAATCCAGCAATAAATCCTTCAAATTCCCTGCAATGATTGAGATATAGAGCGACGTGGTCCGGGGGGATCAGTTGCGGGCCAAGCTGTGAGTACGGGTACAGCCGCGGTATGTACGGCTGTAGATACCGGCTTCAAATACCGTGATCTAAAATCAGCTTGCGAGCAGACCCACGATTTGGTGCACATTCGTGCGTTAGATACTAGTACTTTCCGTCGTAGGCCTCGGAGCAACGAGTTCACCACTGCTTCCCTTTCCCTACCCCTTTATCGTTCTCGTCTGAATCGAGAGATAGTCGAAGGACGATCGAGCCATATCGAGAAAAGCCATTCAGCCACATAGTTACCACTCCCGTCCTCCCTTCTTGTGTCTCGACCCGCTCATTCAGCTGAGCCATTTGTATTCCCTATTTCACCAGCTCATGATGTATCGCGGTATTTAGTCTCAATTCAGCTTTCACTGGTCTGGCTCCTCTCCACTTGTTTCTGCTGCGTCTGGCCTATCAATGATAAGTTTCTATGAGCATCCATTTTCCCCAAGTGAATTAAGATCAATAAAAAGATGAACCCTTAACTCCTAAAGTGCTGGAGAAACGTTTTATGATATTTTCGAACGAATATCATTAAGACTTCAATCGGAGTGCCGAGTCTAGCTTGCACTTCTGATTTTGGCGTGAGGTTGAAGGCAGGGTTGCAATCTGAATTGAGATCGCAGCTCCATTTTTGCCTTTAGGTGGCCTTAATCAACACAGCTCAAACAGAGCCAGACTAGTTATAAACGTAGGTTTATTGAAAAGGCTCGTCTCATACAATATGGTTAAGCTCTGTCAGCACCTCTAACTTCAAAACACAAACACTGCTCAACATGGAACAGAATGAAATCTCTACGCCCAAACTGCCTGGTGGGAATACAAAACCCTATATCGATAATACTGATGAAAGTGATCCAAGTTTGTGGGGGTCACCGGAAGCTCAAGAAGGTAACAGTGGTATCAAATGCTGAGTTTCACATATACTGATACTAACTTGAGATAGTGCTCCTGAACCGAAAAGATGAACAAAGTGATAAAAACACAGCACTGGAGGATTCTGGTATGCTGACCAGATCTTTATTTTGAGCCTAAGCTGATTATTACAGAATCTGTTACCTCTAAAGCAACCGAATGTGATGATGATATTTCCGCTCAATTTACCGGGCTCTTTTCGGGTGAGGACTGGGAATATATCTGGGCAGCTACTAGCGATCGCATACTTTCTGTCGGAGACAGAGAGCTAAAAAACAATAAAATTGTTCGCTGTGTGCTCTTTGAGGCCAGAATATATCTCCCCGACCACCGTATTCCGGACAACGCAAAACATTGGCTGAGGATGCAGGACCTACTAAAGAGAGTGGGAACGTCAAAGCGTCCTCGACCCTACTATTGACTATATAGTTGTGTTGGATAGTCCTTCTAGCAGAAAATCTATCGAAATTTTGACTAGAGTAAAGTTACCATGGGGCTTAATTACTGGCGTTCCTATCTCAGCTTTTGGGTTTAGGGTTGTGGCTCAACAACAAGACACCACCGGTTAAAGTTTATTATATCTGGAAGGTACTACGCGTTGCATCGTTGACAGTAATACTGTTGACTGTTGGCTGTGGATAGGACTGGAATTAGCTGATGTTTTGTGTAATAATGAGACTAGTTACCGTGATATATCATGAGCTGGCTAAGCATCAGAAGCCTAGAAAAAATACATAGAAATTGGATATATTTTGAAATTAAGATTTTATGACCGAAGAAGCAACCTGCTTGGATTTCAGGTGGGGGGGTGGGGAGCCTGTGGGCGGGCCGTTAATGGCAGTGAATGCTGACATGGCTGGCAGGTCGTAGGAAATTGATTTGTATTGGGGGGCGCGGGTGAATGAGATGGTGCTTCTTTTACAAGATGAGTGCCTGCTTTACATATATATAGCTCTATGTTTTCATGTTTTCTACGTTGTGTTGTTGCAGCTGTTCTTTTCATTGAATGCCATCCAGCGGCCCGTCGTTTTTTTATTGACAGCTCAGCTCAATGGACTTCTAACTTATAGATTAAGATTAGTTAACGTAATTCCCCAGCGAGCGAGCCACGAAAATCAAACGCGTAATCATTTAATTCAATTAACCTCTTCAACCCACAATAATGTCACCAATTTGTGGTAAAAATGCAATAAACTCTATAGAAATAGAGGGAAGGCTTGAATTAGCAATATCTGCCATTAAAAAGCAAGAAATTTCCTCAATTCATGAGGCTGCACACCTGTTTAATGTGCCTCACTCTACTCTTACCCATCAACTAAAGGACCAGCCTCCACGGGTGAATTTACACGCAAATTCACAAAGATTGACCCAAGTTGAAGAGGATAAGCTAGTTCAATGGGTTCTAGATCTAGCTAAACAAGATATACTTGCTGCAAATGAGAAAGAGAAGCAAAAATGCAATAGATCTAGGCACCAGATTCAACATGACGGAGGTTTAACTAGAGAAGAAGCTCAGGATCTTATTATTCCACCTGCTGAGGCAGCTGAATTGCCTGCTGTTCAACATATGGAGACTCTACCTCCAGTCTCAGCACCACACTCACAAGCTCCACCATGGTGTACAAACTGTCATATTGTAGGGCATACAAGAAGAAGCTGCCCCAATTCTGTATCCAACTAGTTTAGTATAATTATCTGTTGTTGGGTGGAGATATTTTGGGTTAAACACAATTTAATTACTATATCATGATTTTCGTGGCTCGCTCGCTGGGGAATTAGTGTACGGTCAGCTGATTCAGCTTATACCTTATGTAATCGTACTAAACCTACCGGCTCAAGGTGAACACCGAGCCGGAGGCGAGGTGGCAGGCTTGTCTTCGGAGAATGATTCCTTACAGCCGATCCAAACTATTGGATGCGAGATAATGGCATTGCGATCCAAATTAAATACAGGCGAGCCCTTGCCCTTTTGCTTTCCATTAAAATCAGGTTGCGATCCAAAATCAGATACCACTATAGGTTGAGCAGCTCTCGTCTTAAAAAATCAGATGAAATGGGTAACAAAGTTTGCTCGCAATCCCGACCATCCTGCGCAACTACAAAAGACCTTGTTGTTAGCCATGGTTGCAAACACTGACAGCCACTCTAGAATTGTCCTTACCTGAAAATGAGTCAAGATCACAGCAGAGACAATAGAAGCAATCAGGACTATCCCTGCGAAGATATTACCCGGCCTCAGTTTACTCCGCTGCCCGCCATTCCGGAGATTTCAACCCTTGACCATCAAATCTTCCTGAATGGAGGGACTACCTCTAAACTCGAACGGCTACCATCACGGCTGCAGTCTCATAAAAAGAGATCCTCATCCTTGTACTCTACCGATCAGCTCCACGATCTGTCGTATGAGAATTCATACCTCAGGGGAGAACTGTCGCGGCTCGAGGAGTACCGATATGCACTTTTGAAGCTGAAGAGCAAAGTTGCCTTCATTTCCGAGATGATAAAAGAGATACTGGAAGGTACAGAAAGGAGCTTGCGGGATACAGACAGCAGTTACTTGAAACTCTACGGGATAGAGGCGGACAAGATGGAGAGTGGTGGATTTATTTGAATGTTCTTTGTGCATGCCTAAAATGTCAACATATGTTTTCTGTATTCTATCACTTAAATTTGTTTCCTTTTTGAAAGGGTCCCCGGAAGCAAATCTAGGCGCTTAAAACATCACTCTATTTGAACCATACATCATGGTATGATGACTTCTCCGGTGATAGCCTTAAAAGTATTTCCCAAGTTTTGAGCAAGTTTTCGCCTACAAAAAGTGCTCTCAGTTGTCTTCCATGTCGTATACTATACTGCATTATTAGTAGTCTAATTATATTCTGCTAGGTTTATGAAATTGCTATTGTAGATTGTGAATAAAGCAATAACAATGAAATTCGAGCACCTATCTAAAAATAAACTCAATTTGATCCTAAGCATTCATATGGAGCTAAAAAGAAAAATGACCACTAGTAAATAGCAGAACAAGCTTGGTTGAGCAAGCTTGAGTCGGCTATACCATGTTATACACTGTTGAATAAGAGTTTGGCAAGCTTCCTCACACTATCCTGCTCTAAATAGCGTGACTGGTTTTGGTACATTCCTGCAAGCTTTCATAATTCTTTGTTTGAAAAGTGCTCATCATCACTATCAGAAGATTTGAAAAGGGACCTCTGTTTCTCCAGTTGCCGTTCCAAAAGGCGTAGACGCTCTTTCAGCTCGTGGTTCTCCTGCATGAGCTCAGATTTTGCAGAGCCACTGCTCTTAGCGTAGGGGGGATATTTTCCAGACGGACGGAGACGGTCAACCGAATACCCGCTCAGGGATGTTCCCCCAAAGTGAACACTTCTCTCTGACGCCTTATCTGTACTCAAGTTGTACTTCGACTCTCTCTCCTCCGCCATTGTATAGATCATCCTATCAGCCACTCCTTTGTTTCGTACAGCTCGACGGAACCCACCTCGAGTCTCCAGGGTAACTGATCCATCTTTGAATTGGATAAGCAATTCGGTCCTCGGGTATTTAGTCCTTGATGATTCTGCGCTGGGAGGGCGAATATGCTGGAGAGCGTCATCATTTGCGTTGTAGGCTCGTGGGATTCTCCACCCGACAGCAAGGAGTTTGTCAATATCTTTCGCTGAAAATTTCCATGAGTCGCCGGATGTCTGAAAGAGCTGTCTATCCTCAGTGCGGATTCGAGGTACTGTTTCTTTGTCAAACTCATGGTAGGCCATAGACTCAATTCGATGCACAGAGCGACCCCCCCGTTTATATTGGACAAAACACTCGATATTGTATTTCCCAGCCTTCCACCAGTAGAGAACTTTGCATTTGTCCTCCCTTGTGAATGTTGGTCTTGACCTCATCCTCAAAGATTGGAGATCATATTCTAGCTCGTTAATTTCACCTGAACTTCCAGCGTCTGTTGGCGGAGCACTTTGTTTCCCTAGAATGCTCTCAGCCCAACTTACATCCAAGTTCCAACCTTCTGGCAAGTTGTGCATCTTGTTGAATTTGGCTAGGCTTGCCTGGAGAGTTGCAAAATCACTCCAGCCTTTTTTGGCGTCTATCGTTCTTTCTTGGAACTTTTTCACCGTTTTAAGCCATGAGTTTCGAAACCCATTATAGGTTTGAAAATTGATAGTATCAATATCAGTAGAGGACCATTCGTGTCCTTCTGCCTTGTCTCGTTCTCGGATGGCAGCGTTCAATTGGTCGAAAAAGCGTTTAACCAAATCAATAGTTATTACAGTCGCATCCTGAGAAAATATGTCCGGTATAGAGGTACTTGTGTTGCTGCAGTGTTTACGAACAATTTCACTAACCCAGGGGCGATCCTTGGGCTTGACGGGTTTGGGCCTCTCGTCAACGATCGAGATACCATCTGACATCTCAATATCACTTCCATTTTCCAATTCTCTGACCACCTCAGGACTCTTAGCTTCCTCTGTTTCCTTAAGTGTTTTTCTCCCCATGCTTGACTCACTTGTGGGTCTGGATTTTGGAGGTCAAGGAGACTCTATTTATAGCGTGCTGACATCGCTATCGGATCGTGATCAATTTAAAAGAGGTTTCTAAAGATTTATCGCATTTCTTCCAAGCAGGGTTGCCAATCTAAAATAGAACTAGGCCAGGAAATAGAAAATAGAACCCATATTTCCTGCTATTTGGGTATAGGTTGTTATATTGGAGGCCACTGTAGATATCGGCTAAGAGGCCGTAATGAAATTTCTTCCATTTCCGGAATCGTAGCTTTCAGTGGCGTTTGGGAAGGAAGAAGGGCATGCGATCCCATCAATGCGCGCCTGTCTAATGTCTGGAAATCAACTCCTAAGTCGCAGTTCAATTCTTGGCTGGCCCACGATACTTGTAGGTGATTGGGTCACTGATTTGTATGGGATTCCAGGGCCCGCTGACCAGTCACTAGTAAAACGTTAAATTTTAAACGGTCGTAATGGATGAATCCTCAACAACAAACCATTCTCAAGAGCTTGAATGGGTGGCACATTGCTTTCCCCCACCGCCTGAATGGATTTTCGAGCCGGATATCAAAAGCGTAAAGCAGGCCATTGAGCAAATACGCCCCCATCCAATTATCAAGCTTCTGGCCCAAGATGGATTCATCAAAGTCTACAATGTGAAAACAGATCAACAATGCCTCACTCTACGAGTGGCTAGGCCGACCGAACACAACTACAGAACCGTGAGCGAAGTTGCAACCATAGATTGGATACGGCGCTCGGTAACCCTCCCCGCACCACGAATCGTTGCATACAGCACAACGCCCCATAATTCGACCGGTTTTGAGTGGATTCTAATGGATAAAATACCCGGGAGGCCCTTGTCCGAGTCCTGGCGAGCAATGACATATCCGGCCAAAGAGACACTGGTGCGACAATTCACCACTCACGCCTCCATTACATTCAGAAATAAATTCCATGGCATCGGGAACATTTATCCGGAGACGCCAACATCTGGCGGTTTTACCGTCGGTCCAATTGCGTTTACAGCTTTCTTCCTAGCTCGCCAGATGCAAGAAACTACAAAAGGCCCCTTCTATTCTAGCAAAGATTGGCTTCTGACCATCTTGCGCCTTGCGGAGAATCCATCTGCAATTACCAAATTCGCAAGGCGGTCCGACCTGCAAAACAGTGAACAACTGGAACTGGATGGCGCAGAGTCGCGCCTGACAATCATCAAGAGACTTGAGTCCTTAGTGTGGCGAGAGTTTCCAGACTCCACCAGAATTGCCGAGTCAACGATGATTTTTCACCAAGGTCTGAGCCTGCATAATATATTGGTGGACGGCGATGGCACTCTTGTTGGAGTGGGGAACTGGGACTGTGCATCTGCTTTGCCAGCCTGGAAAGCATGCTCCTTCCCTGCATTTTTAGAAGGTCCTTTCCGACCTGAAGCGCCTGACTTGAGTAACTATGAGCTCGACGCCGAGTCACATTATTGGGATCATCTTCTGGAGCATGAGCAGACAAAATTGCGCCAGTATTACCTTGATGAAATGGAACGATTGGAGCCAGAATGGGTAGAGATTTTCAGATCATCTACTTTTAAGAGGGATATTTTCATTGCCATCAAAAGCTCCAATGGAGATATTCTTGAGGACTGTATTACAGAGTGGCTGGACGAGGTCGACAATGGAAACCCAATAGCACCAACTTTGAGCGAGAGGATTGCTGACCATGGGCTTTTTATTAAACTTAAGAAGTCAGTATAGTTATCAATTTAATAAAATTTTAGACAGTTACTTTTTGGACCTAACGAATAGCTATAAAGTAAGCGCAGTCTCAAGACTTCCACTTGAAGTTATTCGCTGATAGTGCAGTGACTACACCTTTGAATTGGCACTCAGTGACATTTGCTTGACCACCGAGACTCTATGCAGTAACTCCGTACCGCCCATCTGTTTCACTGGGGCTTTCCATAGGCCAGCCCGGCAAAAGGCAAACCCCATGACCCTGTCCCCCAAGAGCTGGCGCAGTCCTCATGTAATCGACTTGAGCTCAGAGAAAAGCATATTCTGTCAATAGTATGTCAAGCCTATAGAAAAAGAATGTCTAATTGAGTCTTATATATATCTTTTGACTCTTGGATCTAGCGCAATTCCATGCTGAAACAGATAGGAGACCTGAGTGCACGGTCATCAAACTTGAACCGGGAGTGGATAAACCTTTTCCTAATCAAAAATGAGCCTTTGAAGTATCAGGAGTCATGGGAGCCATACCAGGTAGGCTTGCGAAGGTGGAAATGTGCCATCTATAATGAGCCGCTTTGACTTGTACTGAAGTTTACGGCTCTCTTCCTGCCATATCTGACCCCCTGACTCCAGTCCTAATTCCACCAGCGAACAGTTAATATTACAGTGACAGTCTGCTTCGTATCGCTGGAGCATTTTCCACAGTGTTTTCCTTCGGGAGCGCCGCATATTTTCGAGGTCTGTTCGGTTACAGTTTGGCATTAAACCTGCTGACCGGTTTGCAAGAAAATACTTCTCAACTTGCAGTAATTCTGGTGCCAACTTGTACTGAGCAATTACCACAGAGATCTCACTGTAGCACTGGAGGGAGTAAAGTGAGAGTTTATTGACCAATGACTCCAAGCGTCGACGTCGCTTTCGTTGAATGCGAGAATTCAACTTTAGGTCCAGGGACAGCATGATGGCAAGATTTTAGCTGAAATAAATGTTTGGCTATTTATGATTCAAGTGTGCACCTTTCTTCCTTCGTCCGCCATGAAGAGAATGGGAGTAAGATAAGTACTATCGGATATAGAAGCCAACTTCAAGCGCTATTGTGACTCTTTGTGGAAGAAATAGTCTGCAATATGGACTCAAGTTTTGATATCTGTCCTGCAAGATCACAACAGATTCGCATGTCTATTCGGACCGCAAGCCCGTTTTGGCTGTCGCTAGGCCTGTGATAGCTCCATCTCCATTTGGTTGTCCTTTTGTATGCAATGTTTATTGTAAAACCATTGCCTCATTGAATGAGGCCAGAACTGGTAAGTAGCGATACAAACTTGCTAAAGACAGTTTGGTCATGACATTCCTCGAGAATGTTAGTGGATTTCTATACGGGACTCATCAAATTGAGAGCTGACCTGGACTATTGAGACCTCAATCCAAGTCACAAGAAGATTCCCATTGCCTGAGAAGTCAGGTATTGAAGTAGAATTCTGGTACTAAAGAAAAGCAATAGTTTGAATCTAACAAGATAGAGATACAGGAGGGCTGGTTAAATGACAGCCCGGGACAACAAAAGAGTGTCGAATATCTCCAAAGTTCTAGACTTAGTGCCCCAATTGATTGCCCTTCGTAATTTGAAGCGATTCCCAATGCTCTTTCTTCAATTTGTCAAGTTTCTGGAAATGGTACACCCAAAGGAGCGTTGTCGCCGTAACAGCCACACACCCTGTGACTGTTGAAGTGACAACTGCCATAACCGACCAGTCCCCTCCCCGGGCGGTTAAAACATTAACCAAGGTGGTAATCAACCCCGCAATTGAATTTAAAAGATTTGGCCTACTACCGGTTAGCCCTATTATTGATGAAATAGCGACAGTGTGCTTACAGAAAAAGCCGGTTGATGAGCCAAAGATAATTTTTGCGCCAAGTCCAGCCCAGGTAGGCAGTTCCCAAGGCTCCTAAGAGAAATAGAAGACATGCGAAGGCCAGCAATGGCGGGTTCTCAATAGTATTCAATACTACGTGCGGTGGATCTGATTTGTCAAGATAAGTATGGAGTGTTGTTGATTTCTGAAGAGAGGCAAAAGTTCCTGGAAGAATCATATATCCTGCGAGCATCACCCAGTTTGACAGCCCTGCGTAGACATTGTGGAACCAAGGGATGCTGTCAAGACCCAAGAGCATTTGCATATACTCAGTATCTGCCATTTCGTCTCATACCAGGCTCAAAGCTTCATGACGAAATTTTTGGCTGACGGCTAGCGTCGATATTGAAGTATTAATGCAGCAGCACACCTAAATCGGCTTGCGAGTTGTACTTGGGGCACACATCCCAATTGATTTCCCTTGAGAATTTTACTGAGGTCATACCCGGATGAGCTCTTACTAGGAAATTGACTACAAAAAAGTTCCGAAACTATTATTTCAAGACTATGATCACCAAAGATATGGAGGCCTATTATAGACTATGATTTCGATCAAGGTGAAGAACCTCGATAACCCTGCAAATAGGGCCTTGGAGGCCCTGATTTGACTTCACCGGCGATGATTCATTTGCAAATATCTTTCAAAGAAATGCGCTTTCTCTGGCCGTGGATGGTGATTTTATTTATATGATTGAAATTCTCAAGGGTGGAGCTAGTACATGAGCTCTGGTGTGGGTAGCGAGAAAGACCGCCCAGATATGGTTAACTGGCTGCTCAGAATTGGTGCGAATGTTGACTATATTGATATTTTTGGTCGCATTTATCTTTAACGTAACTTCAAGATAGAAATATTCAAATTATTTATTTTGTGTTGCTTTTTGGCATCCAAGATGGTTCAGCTCCAAATTTGATCGAGAGAGGTTTGACCCGCATTCTGCCATGCTATTTTGTTGAATATGCTGCGTATATATAACTACTCGCTCCTACCTGAGCCCTATCCCTAATCGAACACTCTCAGAATAGCCAAAATCCAATGTTCCTTGGGCGCAGCATTTACTAGACATCTTAGGAGTTGACTTTGGTGGGATCAAGGTCTACTCAAGGATAAAATTCGCGTAGGTGGGGAGAGAAAATATATCAAGCCATCTCCTCAGTCAACTACGAGGACTATCAGCAGGATTGATTGACATATGCGTAGGTGTGATTCAGGCTACTAGGGGTTATATTCGGGTATTAGATATAGCTACAAAGGTAGCAGACCTATTAAGCGAGGTGAGCATTCTCCCTCCAAATATCTGCTCCAAGAAGAATGATGCAAGCCCATCCAACAAAGGTATAATGGAAGTGCGCGACTAATTTTCCGTCCCAAACTTAAAAAATATACTGACCTATAACACAACTCAATCTCCCTCCAAACCGACACAGCTAAGTTTTTCTCCTTGAACATGATGGCTAGATCAAGGTCACGAGATACTGGCTGGCTAGATGTCATGCAACTTGGCAATGATAGTCACCTCCTTGGTGATAGAGGCCGTCTTTCAAGCATAATCAAGGAGCTTAAAGACCCGGCACTGCAGATGCCGGCTATTCTTCTCTTTCTCGGATCAAAAACAAAGGACAAGGCGTTAAAAATTTTATTTCCAGCTAACAATATCAGACGGACTAGATCTGATGCCCTCATCAGTTTGCGGATTGCAGTCGGGACGGAAGACTCTCCTAAACCTGTGCTGTTTGCTGATGGCGACCCATTCAAGGAGCTCAGCCACCTCCGCCACAGGGATGACTTTGAAGTTTCGCATAGATTCGCCTGGTCTGTGCCGCAAGGCGAAACCTATTTATCATTTCTTTACTCTCGACTGCTTTTGCCGTTCTGCGATGTGATCTGTGTGTTTGGTGATGATTTCAGTAGCTCCCTCCACATTTCAAACTATCTGGCCTTCATCAGCCAGACCGCACGAATTGCTTCCACTTTCCCTGACGATGTCAAGCCAACAGTCCTGGTGATTTTCGCCTCTGGTTGCTATCAACAGAGCGAATTAGAGAAGCATATTTTCGTGCAGTATGAAGCTTTTACAGATGTGTTTTCTGAGGTAAAAATAATTGTTTTGCAAAACCCTACAAGCAGTCAGACTTTGTCGGCAACTCTATTCAGGCCACTGCAGTCACTGCTTCAACACCATATAGAGAATTCGCATAAGCTTCGGCTCTCCTGCCGTGCTTGTTTCTCGGCATTACAGTTCGAGGCTCTGTTTGCGGCGGCACGTGAACACGTGGCATCCACCGTTGAAGCTCCTTTCAACCATATCATAGCTATGAGAAACAGCCATACAGTTTGCGCTGGACTGCGTGATAACTGGTTCGAGTACTTTCGGCTCGGTGTTGGAATTGGTATCCAGGTTGAGGACATGCTTCCTTCCCTTGCATCAGCAATGATTGCGGACCACTACACGCCAAGAATGCACTGTGAGATCATTGGTCCTATTATGGAGTTAAGAAACTGACATGTGTTCAGTGTCAGACCCAGAATCTGTTTTTGGAAATTTGTACTACACCCCACTTTTATTGGCACTTGAACAAATCCGGAACGAAGGCTTGGTATCAGACTTGGCACCAGAAACCTTGTGCGAATTTACAAAATCTAAAGCAACTGCCTTCTTTCTAACTCTGGAGAGTGGTGAGGCTTCCTCGCTGGAGCTTCATCGACAACAAATCGCAACTCAGACCAATATATTTAGCACGCTAAAATCCAACAGAATCTGTCTTTTGTGCCTTGCAGGTCGGCGACCTCAGCATCGGTTAAGTTGTGGGCACAGCTGGTGCGATATTTGCGTGCGAAGGTATGGCGAGGCCGCCTCCAACATCGAGTATCAATTTACAGTGCTTCAATGCTATCATTGTTTGTCTCGAGTGCCTCTTGTTGTCAATCTTGTCCCACCGACGAAGAATATAAACATTTTAGCCATTGATGGTGGCGGTGTTCGGGGAGTTGTCTCGGTTGAGATTCTGCTTTGTCTCCAGGAGAAGCTGGGAATATGTCCGATTCAAGAACTCGTTCATCTTATTATTGGAACTAGTTCAGGTGAGTAATGGCCGTTCTACTAAGCAATCCAAGCTTATATTCGCAGGAGGATTGATTGCTGAATGCTTAAAAACTCGTCGATGGGACCTTGCTACATGCTCCCAGTTGTTTAGGCGCTTTGCGCGACGGGCCTTTAAACAAAGACGGGGGTTCCCTTGGCTTGTGCCCTTCCGCTGGGTTACTTGGTGGTTAAATGATGGATGCTACGATCCCGCTGCAGCCGAAGCATGTTTGAAGGAAACATATAGCCAGTCGGATCGAACATTTGACGCGGTTGCTCTTGCCCACGGCTTAGTATCAAAATGCAAGGTTGGGGTCATTGCAACAGACATCTCAAAAAAAGCGTCAACATATGTTTTTGGCAACTTCAATTCGTACTGCCATGAAGACGGCCCACACGGTACGATAGCTGTGTTTTGATTTTGGAGACAAACTAATTAAATAGGTTTTGAGATTGTTCGGCCCGATCTTGATAAAGATGAACCTTTTCTATGGGAAGCGTAAGTGCAAAAATCATTTCTAGCATTGTCTCTCTTGTTTTAGTCTTCTTTTTGCTGACTTCTTCAGAGCCCGTGCGACAGCAGCACCGCCATTGTAAGTTTCCCGGTACCGTGCGAGACAAAACATTAATTTTGCATAGTATATTCCCTGTGGCATACATTCTCAATATAGGCTCGTTCCAAGATGGAGGTTTGAAACATAACAATCCCAGTGGGATAGCTCGAGAGATCAGCCGTTGCATGTGGCCATCACGCGGCGCGCCTGCGTTGTTGCTCTCAGTTGGGTCCGGGACCGAAGCCGATCTGCCACAGCAAGAAAGCAAAGCACTATCGAGTAGCGCACAGATTCTTGCGGCGCCCCATTTTCGGAATATATTCAAGGATGGCATGGGCCGTCGAGCCCGAGATGCGTGGCTTTCGTCCATGGATGGCGATGAACAATGGAGCACATTGACAAATCAGTTGAGCGAGGAGGAAAAGACTCATTATCTTCGGCTCAATGTCGTACTAGAAGGTGTACTTGGAGGTATTGATGATGTTGAAAAAATGGATAGCTGCCAAGCTCACGTAATTCTTGATACCCGGCTGCCTAGGCTGATCAATGATGCCTTTTCAAGGCTAATGGCGGCAGCTTTTTATTTTGAGCTTACAAGCCTTCCAAAGAAGGAAGCAGGAAAGTATCTATGCCTGGGCACCATCCGATGCGAGCCATCCATCCAACTGGTTCTCCCACCGCTTCAACAACTTCAAGGTATAGAACCAATGGCTTTTGCCACAGACGACATGACGCTTGGGCAGTTTCATGGTAACAGCGATATTTGCAATATTTGCGGCCGCTTTTCCAAGACAGTTTCCTTCACAGTGAACCGCTTGGATGAACCAATTGCAATATACCTCAAGTTCAAACGATATAATCGTGTGAAAATAAGCGGTTTTAGAAACCCCATAAGTTTCTTTATCAGTTGCCAGCACCTTGATGCCGTGTTTGGCACAGCATACCACGATCGACCAGGTACCCGCCCCTGTGGGTCGTGCGACTTTCGAGAAGCGCAACTCAAGAGGCAATTTGTTTACCCAAAAGGTAAAGATGAAAGAAAGCGGAAAGCTGAGGAAGAGCTTAGAGGAGAGATTAAAAGAGCCAGACGCTAGATTTGATTTTGTTTTTCTGTGTATTATAGATCAGTTACTCCTGTTTCATATCAATCTTATAGAGTACCCCTATTCCCTCTCGGCCTGAGCCAATTTGCAGATTGGTCAACAGGTCCAGAGTTTAATTATTGTTGAACTGCAGTCATGTGGCCAGTTACCAGGCGACTAAGGGCAGGATTGCCGTATTCGTGCACACCAACACTAGTCAAACCCTTCGACCATGGTACAAGGTCATCACCCAAGCTGGGAGGCAAACACGCACCTCCCAATGAAATAGAATGGCAGTTTGCTTTTGAGGTGGAATTGCCAATGAAGCATCCTATCTTGCAAAGTTCAGATTTCGCTTGAGGAGCCTGAAAAATGAACTGCGACCCCATTACATCCACCAAACGCTTACGCTTATTTGATTGCGGAAAATGATGGGTCCTGCAGCTTGGACACTCGATCAAGAATGCTGGATAGTGTTTCAGATGGAACTTTGCACATTCAGTATCTTAAATGCCCTATCATGGATATGGCAAATTTTGTTTACTGTCTGTCTTTGAAGCCTGAACTAGCACGGGCCCTGTCATCACTCCGCTACACGGATAGGTATTGATGTGGCATGATATGTGATGCCGGGAATGAATATGTCCAGATAATAGACCCAAACTTCCACCTTTGCTGCATGGAAGTTTTAGGACCTCTTTGAAGACTATTGCATTGTTACAATTGTGACATACTCTGTAGCTTGAGAGAATTAAGAAGGGTTGTGGCACCACATGACATCAATCCAAGTTGAGTCATGAAGCTGGATCTACATGATGGAATTCTTGGGCTGAGTTGAAGTTACCAGCTGGCTCGCAGGAGTTTGGAATTATTGGAGATGTGCAAGAAGCAAAATATCACAATGCAATTCTTCTATTTACAGTTCATCTAACAGGGCGCATGAACTTCATTTCACAATTCAGCCCTCCGGCTAACCCAGCAAAAAACACTTTTAAGAGCAAGACCTACTACCCAACTCTGTACCATTGTGAGAGTCAATCTTGCTGTATGAAGATCTAAACTCCAGATCCATCTTACAAGTTCTATCATCACCCCACTTCCCATACACCCTAGAAGTAAAATTGGAATACGTGGTGCTGAGATCTCACAGTTTTGAAGAACCAAATGGCCTCTGCTTGCGTAAAATGATGCTGCTGTGATGGCAGTTGAAATTCTGTCTGCAGATATCAAAACAGGCAGGCGTATTTTCCCGAAACCCGAATTTAGAACATGATTCCCAGCCATTCCGAGGGTGAAACCTGCTATCAACATTCCTCCATAGCCAACACTGGCGCTGAGTAGATTCAGTACCATTGTTTCTGTAAAGCCGTTGGCAGTGTCACTGGAGATCTTAGCCTTTAAAGCCCATTTTGAAATTTAGGTCCATACCTATGTCAAAAGCCAGCTGAGCACTCTATTAGAGATTTTAAACTTGATGGAGGGTTGATCTGACAGCAATTGTTCCGGTGCTGGTGGGTCATCCTTTGATGGCCTAAGGTATCAGGTGAAAGATATATTGAGGACGATGCAGACCAAGGTATTGTCTCTTTACTATTATAACAGACAGAAGATGACTTGTGCTTTGAGATCTCCCCACCTCATAGAGCGCTTATTGATCCACTGCTCCTAGCTTGGTTGTTGAAGATCCTTTTTTCAAGACCTCTCACCAAAGATAACTACAAACCAGAAAGAACATCGCAATTGGCTCAGATGTCTATTTCCGATCGCAACTCCATTTTTGCTCGCAAGCAGGAATTTAGAATTAGATCGCATGTCAATTTCAGATCGTGACCTCGCTTTGGTTTACAACTTTCAGAATCAGCTCGAATGCCTATTCAAACCACGGCCCTCCAAGATGGGCGAGGTGTTGAATAGCACCTCACAAAATTACAATTCTGGCTTGGTGTCTGATTCAGCTTGAGGTCCAGTTCCATTGAAACAAAGGGTGGGTTTTGGGCGTTTTGACAACCTATCCACTTAGCAATCACACAGAGCTGCCCCCTCGGCAGCTCTGACGGAAAGTACATCTCAAAAAAGCAACAGCTTAAGGCAGACTATTCAATGGTCATTGTTTCTGAATGGCTATGGAGTTGCTGATGGCTAGTTCAGGTTCCATTGATTTTGGTGTGCGAGATGGGAAATGGAATTGGGGTGGGGAACCAACCCAAATGGGATGCAAGTGCTAGCAGCTTTTAACAGGTGGGACTGGATGTAGCAGGAAATGCCGCAGTTGGTACGTACAGGGTAGCCGTTGACTAATTCAGGGGGCTGGAGACTTGAGTGGGCTCCATAATACAATAAGTTGAAGGGGGTGGAAGGGGGTCTAGATGGCCGATAGTTTCAACTTTAACAGGTGGAGCATAAGTCTCTTGTATGTAGTCCGGATTGGCTGAATGGATGGGAATGTTGGAACTCAGTTAAGCGTACATACGAAGTTAGCTTGAAGCCAAATCAGACCTCCATCGAATAGTTATCTCCAACCTCCAAAATCTATGACTTAAGACAGCCTAGACCAGCCTGTTCATCTCGAAGGTGGGATTTGGGGCGGGGGGATCGTCTTCCTGTCAAGTTGCAGCTTGGCATGGTTCAGTATATCATCACGTTAACCACACCACCGGATCTGAATTCTAAAACGTTGCTGCTATCCCAGAACCACTCGCACCTCCCAGAAACACTATCCTTTGCTATTTTTTATTATTAAAGCTGGCGTCTTTAAGCACGATTGAATCTTTGAACCACTTAATGCATAATGGCCGGTAGGTACCAATAATATAATGGGGTATGGCGCTGATGGAGTTTTGCAGCTGAACGATTACTCTCCACTGAAATCACACACATCCGCCAGATTTGCCAGGAAATTGACCATCGGGCCCAACAGCTGCACAGGAAATACCATGAAAAGCTGGTGTTTTTGAACTATGCCCAGCGGATATGTTTGAACCGACTCTTGTACATTGAAAATCAGCTCAGGATTCTGGAATCACAGAACTGGGGCATTCCGCCGGACAACCCATCGGAGCCCAAACACAAGCAAGAATGGCCAGCTGGCAGGGGTACTTGAGTGGGGCTTTTACACTGGTTTCCTTGTTTTCTTGGCGGAGGGGAGAAAGGTTATAGTGATGAGACCATAAATTCTGTCTGGACTGTGCATTTGTACGCATATTCTAATCCACCCTATTTTTCAACTCTTGCACCACGCCTTCTGCACCTTCTATAGTTATGGGAGGACCTGACCCTTACCGTGCGTCTCGCCAGCAGTTCAACAAACGTTCAACAACAGTTTTATCCAAGGCGATGGAGCTGGTTCAGAAATGCGATGCCAAACTGTATCTGCTGATGGTCCACGAGCGTGGTGTTTTTGAGTACAACTCGACTGTTGACCCGCTTCGGAATGAATGCAATCCTGACCCCGAATGGCCGCCTCCAGTATTAGAAGTGGTAGGCCATTTTCTCTCGTACATAGCATTTTGCATGCATCTCGTTAACTCGCCCCTGCTTGCATCATAGGCAAAGGTGTATCCAAATGTTCAAAGATCCAGCCACAGCTTGAGAGAATTCAAAAAGTTGAATAAGCATCAATTGGCGATAATACAGCATCAAAATGAGGCTGTCGCGCGTCGAAAGGTTAAGGCCCATAAAGCTGCTCTGCGACGAAAGTTGGTTGTCCCAGATGCTCCAGACCTGGTGACTTCCAGGCACTGGAATAACATAGATCAGAAGGAGAAACAAGCAGAACAGAAAATCCGCTGAGCAGAAGATTTTTTGGGGACTATAGCCCAGAGTAAACAGATGGAATTGATGCTTTACTTGTCTGTCTTTCTTTCATCCCACAAGGATTGGTGATATATTGGTAACTCTTAGATTTGAACCAGTCACTTTCATCAAGCCTACATAACAAATGGTGCCTGCCCTCCGTACTCCTGAGAAGAACGATAAAATCTCCAGACAAGAATCCAAGCTTAAGCTAAGACTTAGGCTTGAATTAGTATTGGCGGCGTCGTAGCGACACAGTGGACGGAGCCGTGAAAGCGAGCAGGTCCAATGACATCAAGTTCAGGTCACAAATCGCCAGCATCCCAGATCAACCCATGTAGTATAGCCGCTGTAGTAGGTTTCGTAGGCCAATTTCTGATCACAACCCCAGCTTCGACTTACACTACAAACTACAAATATAGCTTGCATGTTCAATTTGAGCTACTATGTATTTCCCCCTTATGCAATCAAATAGCTGTTGAAGGCTGCAATCCTATGAACACATAATTGAGTGCTGCACCCCAGAGCTGAAACCATGTTGGAATGTAGCAATGGCATTACTAGCAACAGTGGACGCATTCTGGGAATGCAGACTTGCCTGATTGGTGGTTCGGGATCAAGTTACGGTTCAACACAAGAATCGCTAGGCAGCCAGAGTGCGACGTCCATTGGATTTCAGGATGGGCGCGATGGGCTGAAGCTGGAAACCGGGTTCGGACCTTAAGTTGGCATGCATCTAGCGCAGGCACAAAATAACAGCTCAAAGACCGCAAGGCTGTTTCCAGTCACGAACAGGGAACACATTCGCGGAGGCCTACTTTGATACCTGCACGGGAGAAAAATTGCAAACAAAAATTGGCCCCAGTATGAAATTTCAAATAGCATAAGCAGCCAATGGCTCGGAAATTGCCTATCCAGTGATCAAATCGGCAAATGCATAGCCTCAGGGGTAGAAGCCGCTTCAAGACAACAGTGTTGATGTTTTCATGTATTGCTGATAGCCATCGCATTGTATACAGCTGATAAGAATTTCATCCAGCATTGAAGAAATAAAACTGGAGACTAAGATCAAGTTGAGTTTAGACAGGTATGTGTACATTTTGTTCTTGGTAGAGGAATATTTCCTGAACTTCGCGGCATTAAGAACTATACAAATATCGAAAAACACATGCATATGCATTTTTTTAAAGGATTTCTGGCTCAGGAAAGATCGGTAGAATGTAGCAAACTGTAAATCGGAATTACAGTACTTCCTTTTCCTAGCTCCGGTTGTGCAATACAGACATCTGTCTTTTGCTTACTCTTTGGCTCCGTTATCAGCACGTCGCTGAGGTGGCTGGGCCCGGTAGGTGGCCCCGATGTCCAAGCAGGAAAATGCCGGGCATGATCAAGAGAGGAAGATTGAGCTTGAGCTTGGAGTTCACCGGACGCATCGTACATACCGAGCACAGACCACTCCTTACGCCCATTGGAATAGTGATACAAGAGAGAAGGCAGTGGAATTGAACTTTTAGGGTGCTTATATCCTTGAGAGTGCTGCGTGAGTGTAAGTTGAAGAATTGGCCCTTTGGATTGGTGCATGCGCAACTCACAGGGCCATTGGCTGTAGAACGAGTTAAGCAGGAAACTGGCTGTGGGGGTATTTGTATATGATAGGGCAAGGCGGCCTGAGCTGCAGGCTGGTGCAGGCAAAAAATGGGTGTGTTGCTCTGAGAGTTTTCACGACAATGGGCGAGAATATTTGAAGCAGGCGTGAAAATGCAATCTTGATCGGATTTCACACAGTTGTTGCACCGGCCATCCTGAGATGTGGGGTTGAAGCCCGAGCATCGGATCTATATTTTGGTTATGGGTTGATCAGGTCTGGTGTGGCTGAAGATGTAACAGACCTTTCGCCGCCGGCATGAACAGCAGGCAATTGCAGTTCGCATAGGGTATCGTCGCGGAGTATACATCACTATGCACCCTTGCTCTAGCCTAGTGGATGCAATATTCAAGGTGTGAAGGGAATAGAGATAATGTTAGGAAAGCTGAGCAGAAGCAAAGCCGCCAGAGTGAGGATAGGTTAATGAAGGAAGATGATTTGAAGAAAAGGGAAGAGAAAATATAAATTTGGCTCCAGAGATGAGATAAATTGACCTGGCAGCCTGCAGACCATACTCTTATAGTGTGCTCTTCAGGGTAGAACCACACCCATCTAGCAGTGCCAACTTACCGTTAATACGATGGGCGCCAGATAGATTGACACGAGTCATGCTCTGGAAGCTGACCAGGCCTGTGTCGAATACTGCCTATACGGGTGGTTTGGTCGGTCAAACACCTCTGACAAATTCTGGCTGATTCCCTGCAACCAATGCCCACTCGCATATGCTCTTGGTCATGTTATTGCCGGGTAATAATCCAGCGTGCCTTTATTGGCAAAGACAACACCGTATCACTCTCCACTAAGTATGTCTTAGCGTCAAGATCCCTTCACTCTCCCACCTCAGGGAACAGGCAAACCAGGGGAAGGATACCGAATGTCCCTGCCGGCTGGCTGGCCCCTTTGGGTTGGACTGGCCGGCGGAATGCGCCGGGGATGTCCCAGTTCCGTAACTCTAGAGCTGATCCTCAAGAGCCGGTCAAAAGTATCCACCAGGTATACACCAGTGGTGCCAGCGGCTGCGCCCAGTGATCAAGGCACTGGCCCCCGGATTCACCCCATGTCGCAAAGGAAACAAAGGAAACAAAGGAAACAAAGGGCAGAGACCCAGCTGTGTGGTAAATACGATGATGCATTGAATCACGTCACAGTGTGATCCGCCAGGCTGCAGATGGAAATCAACGCTGGAAGATGATCATCTGGCCCCAAAACCTCATCCCTGAGGAAAGAGGCTGGTTGAAGTCGCCGCCAAACCGTGCAATTGGGGCTTGGAATTAACAATTGTCAAGAAACCGAATCATTTTCATTGCGACTTCAAGTTGCGCTTAACTTTGAGTTCCAACCCCGTGTTCCCCGACAACCCGACCAATCCAGTCATTTTGCTCCACCCATTCAAAGTCAAAACCAACGTCAGCCATCGTCTCTTTCGCTTCCCCCAGCTCTCACCCAACACCATGCCCAAGCGACGCTGAGTTCCCTGGTCCAGGTGGTCAAAACCGCACAGCTGGCTCCTCCGGCAAATCATACTCATTCTCAGTAAGTTGTCTGGTAACATTGGTCATGGACTTTGCCCACACCTCCATCTTTGCATTGCAGTTCTCTAGGTCATAAACCTTCCTTTTTCTAGTGTTAGAATTGGCCAATAAAGCCATGCACCCGAACTTACTGAGCAAGCTCATCAATTCTATGCGACAGTTAATATCATTGTGGGCTTTCAGGGCTTGGAGGCCTTACTGAGACTGGAGTTTGTCAATTCTATGCGGCAGTTAGCATTCTGATGGGCCTTCAGGTTTGGAGGCCTTACTGAGACAGGATTTTATCAATTCGTTCCTTCTCTGAGCATTCACGTGGATGGATTCCAGTCTCTAGTAATGAAGGCGCAATATTTCCCGGTTGTAAGTAATTGTGCTCCGATCGGCCGCCAGATGTTGGCATGTACAAATTTCCCTCCTCCAGTGGGTAGGCTGTGAGTTGCCCGCTATTTGAAGGGTGCGGTGGACGCCGCTGTCGACGTCGTCGAGTGGTGTTTCGGTTGGGGGTGTTGCTCTGGCTGGCATTGTTTTCCTGGTTCAAGTCACTGCCAAGTGCCGTAGTGTTGGCTATCATCATATCCCAAAAGTTCCCGTCAGAGGCCATGGTCACAAGATGTTTACGGCATAGGGGAGCCTCGGCCAATTTTGTTATCTTTTTGCTGTAGATTTGGAAGGGAGAGGTATGGGCTTCTACACAGGGCTATATAGCTCATTTCGGGTTACAGGTCAGAGAAATGTGCCATCAAAGGCTCGCAGCACGGAAAGTTTCTTTCCCGCTAGAAAAGACAGAATTGCGCCCCCAATCCTACCATGCTTTTTGGACATGGTTCCATCATTGATGACGCATGGCTGGCGATACCGGTGTCTATAAAAGGCCTTGTCTCTTCGATCCGTGCAATCCTTACCTGTCTCGTGCTTCTGCTGTTATTTCATATTCCGCATTCCATCATGGTGGAACCACGTGAAAATCTATCTCCCGTAGGGTTATATCCTGTGGTTGAATTCCTGATTGCTAATGCAATGTCAGATGTCTCCTTTCACTGTCTTCGAAGACGCCGCGGTCTCATCTCCAGCCGAAGCCCAAACTCAGACTCTGCGGTACTCATACTCACAGCTTGGCCCGCAACTGATCCCCCCGGACCACGTGGCCCTATATCTCAATCGTTGCAGGGAATTTGAAGGATTCATTGCTGGATTGGCATCGCATCGTGACGCCCTTCTTACTGCTTTGCACGATGTGAGGGCGCAAAATGCGATGCTTCATCAAATGGTCACATTGGAAAAAAGAAAGAGACTTGGCTATGAACTTGATACTGCCTCACTGCGCGCCGAAAACCAAACTCTGAGGAGCATAGTCAACCATATCAGTCCAATTATGGCGGGGCCCGGTCAACCAGCTACTATCCAAGAGCTCTTTTTTGCCTCACATCAGCAGGAGGCGGTCATCGCCCGGCAGAGCAAGACCATTAGTCAGTGCAAGGAACACGTTCGTGAGCTGCAGCTGGAGCTATCGCGGGTATAACACCAGAACAATCTTCACCAAGCTTTGAGCAACGAGTTTCAGTTTTCAGAGTCTTGGGTGATTATGATCTGTATTTTTGAAGCTCTTTTTCCGTATTGTACGATCCTTCAATTATCTAGATCCAGTATGAGGCTTGTCGTAGGCCTTAGGTAGGTTATTTGAAAATATTCATAATCCTTGCATCGCTCCCTTGAGCTTGACTTGACGCACAAATCCATTAAAAACCTGGCCAGAAATTCTAGATGCTACATTTGACCCTAGAAACCGCCTTGCTTGGGAATTTAGCCCTTTTCAAAACCATAATAAACTTAGTTTGAGAAATTTTATGTTATTAGATGAACAAATGATCCCCTAGCTAAGAATCAAACAAGAGTATATTGTAGTCTAGCCTTGAACTCAACCAGCTCTCTACACATGTTCCCTCTCTTGTTTGATACAATAATATACCCAAACGGTGTCCCTTTGCAGTTTGGCTGATTTCTGGAAACTGTACAGTCAAAGTAGCCTGACTGCCGTGATGACCAGAAATGCAGCCACTGCTGCAGGCACTTGCCATAGCTGACAATTAACTGCCTCCTTGAGCTATAAACACATTGGCAGCCGCTGGAATTTATATCAAAATTGAATGGTGAGAAAATATATATATGTATATATACAAGTTGTGCTCGCTCGCTACGCTCGCTGCTTATCTTCTTTATTACCTAAAAGTACTATAGGATTGACTCTCATATTGGTGAGTTACTTGGCGATATGTCCAAGAAAAATCAATCGTGCTACCCACAGGAAAAATCAACAGAGGAACCAGTAGCTTGCTGGCCAGAGTCCATCCTTAAAATGTTCTGAGAAGCAGAAAAAGGTGAGTTTGAATATTGTTTAATGATATGATTTCGGCCCACATCACAGTGCTAATGTCATAGTTACGTGTCAAAATCGGATTTTTAAACCTGAAGCGAAAACCTCAGTCTTTCTTCTACCCATATCGTGACTATCCCGAAACAGTAGCTTGAAAGTGGATTGCAACTTACATTTGATATAGAAGTAAAACTGGGTTGTGCCGTGCAGTAGACCAGGCAGGGCGCGACTCAATCTTGATTCAGTCACCGAACGGACAAAGAAAATAGTCATGGGGAGAAACTGGGTTGCGACGCGCTTTTGACTTGCAAGTGAGTGACTTGTGGGAGGGTGCAAGCAGCAGGATAATCAACAAAGGCCAAATAGATCAGAATACGAGATAAGATACCAACCATTTAACAGGAACGGACCATTTTTGATCATTTTGCAGGAGTCACAATTTAGTAGTGTTAAGATTCCTGTTTAAAGTTTATTTAGCTAACTACTGCACCACACCTTTGTACACCTCCGCAGACTTCGGGAATAAAGAGTATATCAAAAGAAACAGGAAGCTCCAAATACTATTATGCTTCTGCCCCAAATGCCACCGAAACCTATTGAGCCACATCCCTTAACAGTCACAACTTCATCACCAGGTAACTTGGTACACTCAAAATCAATTGGCCAGCTTCAAAATGAGTGCAACCAGCTTCGAGCTATAGTCCGGGGATTTGAGGGTATCGAAGTCATGTATAGATACTTGCTCAACCGAGAGTCCACCGCCCACGCAATTACAAGGGATTGTCTTCGAATTGAAAGAGTCAACCATATGGAAGTTGCCAACATGAACAAGATGCTGCAGCGCGAACTCTCGCAAAAACAAGCTGCTCAAATTGCCCGAGAAGTATTGTTATACGAGAAGCGCCATCACCAAGCAGCCACAACAAAACTCTACCATAAACAGAAGCCAGGCCCAGAGAGTCTCAGGAGGCCCCATATGATGTGCGGCAAGGGGAAAGTTGAAAATACGGGAGAGCAAAGAGAACGCAAAACCTGAAGCTTTTCATTGTCCTCTTTGTATTTTGTGGAATTATTTCATTGCAAGTTTACTTCACAAACCATAATCACTTCCTCTTTTCTTGATTTGGTGTATACTTTAGATACTAGTAATTTCCGCCGTAGGCCTCAGAGATATGCGGGATTTGGAAGCAAACATTTTGACTAACTAGGAAACCCTCCTTGGCTATATAGATACCTGCTATCCAAGACAACTCAAGATGAAGATATCTTATGATGAATCCTTTATCTAAAGATCCTCCGGCACTCAACCAATTGTGGGTTTTGGAAAAATTTGCAACAACTGTCTTTACTGGGGCTGGGGATAATATCCCAGAAGTTACACACAATCTGCAAGACAATCTAATAATGTTCAACTGACTGAATTCACTTTTACAGCATCAGGTTCCCAGAATGGGAACTTTGAAAGCGCATCGGCAAGCACTTGATGATACCGAGTCATATTTTCTTGGTAAGTTCCAGCAAGTATTCTCCAGTAGCAAGTATCCTGCTCCAAAATTTCAATCCTTGCTTCCAAATTCTCTTTGGATAGTCTGAGGGCGCTGATCTCCGCTTCCAAAGTTTCCTTCTCTAATGCGGCTGCCATCTGAATATTTTGTATAGTCAACTCTTCCTTCAAGTTGTCGTTTTCCATACCGAGTCTAGGAAGCGATGGACATGTCGATCGACAGAAATACACATTCTGGCTATATTAGCCTAGAGCAGGTAAGTAAGCTTCCTGAATCTTACACGAGAAGGTATTGCTTGAAATGATTTCCCCACTTCCTTACTCAGAAGTCTGACAGCTGAAATTGGGTGTTCACTCAATTGTTTCGTAAACATGTGCTGTATTGGTGTCGACACATCCCATGTATAAGGATCATTGAAATTCGGAATCAATCTAACCTTCTCTGGGTTGATACAAATCCCTAAGCGGTTTTCTGGCTATCATGTTACTTGTATACCACCAACGATGGCAAAGGTACTTACGGATATGTTCGGACAATACTTGTCGACAATCCTTCCTACTCCCCCGACGTTTTTCGCTTTTTTCACAAGGCATATTTGATCATCTTGACCAGGTGAATACTTATGTGGTTTTTCAATCTGGAGCCGGTTATATAAGCGCATATTGAGACTTCTTGTTGACATCGGATCGCAGCCCCTGTTCTGGAGCGGTCCCTTGACTTATTGATAATTTTTGAAACCTGGCCAGAAAGTGCATCTCAAACCACCACCATGTATGTCATCGACATATATACGGCATCACTGTCGGCAGAATTTTCTTATGCCTATTTTTAACACGAGTCATTGCCTATTTTAACATTTGACGACAATTGTGCCTATTCTACATCCTACAAACCCTATCGGCCTTTTCTTCCTCCCGATTTCCCGTTATCTCGCTCATCTCTATATCCTCAATCGTCAGAGATTGATTGTTCCCTGGAAGCCGCTGAACGTTCTCATTCATCTTGCATATATGGCAGTGACTGTGTGCTGCGTGATCTTCCCGCGCTCGATACTGGGTCCTATAAGTCGCAGGGCAGGGACGCTATTATTTACTAATCTGGGCTTATTCTCTGGTGGAATACATCTAAGCTTTTTCGCAAATGCTATGGGAATCTATTAGCATACGTATAGGAAGATTCACCGAATGATAGGCTGGATAGTTACTTGTTATGAAGCCTGGCGTTCGGTATGGAACTTCTCTGGCCGGGTTTTTGCTAGAGCTTGAAAGGTTCCGAGAACTAGTTGGGTGTTGGTAGTGATCAATATCCCAAGTTGCACGCGGTTGAGTCGCAGTCCGATCCGGGTGTCAAAGGGGGTATCCGTGCCGGTATGCCAGAGCTCGGAGTCGTACTATGGTGCTTCTCAAGAGGAGCGAGCTCGAATACAAGCATACAGTATCACAGGACTTCAGTGGTATGAAAAGTAACCAAGGTATGAATGTATTCAAGGTATTCCTAAAGATTGGTATCTGAGTATAGGAAAGGTTGGTAGGTAGATTGATCATGACAGACAAGTCTATCGGATCATTGGTAATGAGCGCCCTTATATACACGATACTCCCTGTGGATAGTCTGGATAGTTGATACTATCCTACCTATCCGCCAGTCGGGATAGTTACTCCTATCTCAACTATCCGGTCACGTGCCATCAGTCTGTTGGTTCACCCGATCCGTGACCTTCCCGCCCTCTTAGCGTGTCTCCACTTAACGCCCGCTGCTGTCTCCCAGTGGCGTGCGTGGTTTAGCTGTCAAACCGCAGGGTTTGTAACAATATAACACAGTATAACTATTTAGTACAGGGTGACACATTCTTGGCTACAATGGTGTCACCGGCTCGCTTCCCCAGCTTAACCAACACTGGGAGAATAAGATCGCTCTGTTTGTATTCATGCGTTTCAAGTAGCCAGTTGGACACTTCTCCGCGTGAACAATTCTCAAGAAAAGCTGATTGTTGCTTTAGGCATATAGCTTCGTTTTGTTTGCGGGAAGCGCCTCGCACATGTGCAAGGTCGAATTGTGTGAAACGCTTCTCTCGCGGCACTACCATTGCTTTTCGAGAGTATCAGCGGCTTGACTGGCCATAGCAGGTCGAAAACTGTCCTTGGAGGGATAGACTTAGCTTGCCCTGATTGCAAGACGGAAAACCCAAGGCAGTACACGAATAATCAATGGACATTAAGATGCTGCTGGACACACAGCCGCTTGCTGGGTCAACACAAATTGAAGGCCCGGGGATCTCAGGAAACCTGAGCTTCTACGTATGGGTATGTGGGTGCAAGCTGCTTTGACTTGGCGTTCAGGTATCTGTCATAATCTGTTCTGCAACTATCGGCTTTCGGATCGCATCCCTCTCTTTGACTCACTCCGCTTCGAAACATCTTGCTTGCTTGCACATCTGATCCAGGATTCAACTGAGCCGCATTCCAGTGCAAGAAGGCTGCGCACCCAAATTACCAAGCAATACTAAATTAAGTAGCTTCTTGGTCTTACGACCTGTTCCAATCTAGTCGCGGCACGGTATTGGCCCCTTGGTTATAATATAATCCATGGGTTTGTGAATGCTTTTGCCCTCACAGAACGTTTCTTTCTCAGTGAATGTCTCAACCATGAAAGTGTTATCTACTATATACGTGTGGATGTGGATAGGGATGGTGGTTGCTGAACAGAGGTGTACATGCCCAACTATCCCATCTATTTCACCACTATCCACTTCAACACTGCCTACTCAAAGTCAGCCTCCACAAAGTCAGGGGTCACAGGTTTGCAATGGCCTAGCCAGAAGGAAATATTTGACCAGAGATACAGTTGGAAGCATAATTGAAAATCAATTTTGTCCTGACGCTGCAAAATTTGAAATGCATGGAGATGGAGCCCTAAATTGGATCTACAACGACAATACCCCTGAAGCAGTTTTAATCTCACTTGGCTGGAAGAACTTATCCCAAACTCACCTTCCGCAAGTTGGAGCCTGCGTTCACTATTTGCGAGACCGGATTGTCGATGGCTGTGATGGCAATGACCCAACCAACCCAATGAATTGGAAGGGCGGTGGCTATTTGAAAGTCGACCAATACGAATATACAATTGACCCTACAGCCAACCGCCAGCCGGCGCCAAAGCAGCCACAGGCTTTATGCAAAATAACAGCCCAGGCCAACTACACCTCAGTGCGTATGTGGGGGGGAGGATGGGCATCGTCTGATTTTGGAAAAGCCTTGATAGTGAATCTCAATAGCTGTGGATTGCTTCAGGACACCTTCGCCTTTCAATATGGGCGACTCGAAGGAGGATATGAATGGGCTGCCAGCATGTTGGTGCCACCATCAACAAAAAATGAGTGTATACTCAGTGCTGCTACAAAGTCTGGGGCACACCAAGGGCTCTCATGGTTAGGAGGAGCCGAACCACCAGCATTCTTGTGAACTGTGATTCATACAGGGCTGCAGACCTTGGGCTTAGAGCGTTTGTCCTCCCAACCAAAAGGGACACATGATGGGGCATCTGAGATTTTGCTCACCGATGCAGCAAAGTCTCAGAGTCCTTATGTGATGTTTTGCTGCTTTTTTGTGTTGTGGTTTTCGAATGCATAGAATCTGAGTACGTAGAACTTCAGCTATGAACTGATTTATGATTGCTTGACTTCATATTAAGATCTGTTAGGACCTCAGCTTGGTGCAGGTGAATAGAAGTTTGATTGTAAGATAGGTAGACTAAATAAACAAAATACTAAAATGGGATACAGAAGAGGGGCTCTCGCGTGTTTTTATGTCAGATTATCCCATACTCTGTGACAACCACCCAAAAACAATTGGCCTCATCCTGACTTGGCTGGTTGGAGCCCTAACCAGGTACGCGGTAGGTACTGGATAATATGTTCTCCCGCTTGGATTAGCGTGGCTATTTCGTATCCTTTTTCGCCTTCGGAGAGTAACTAACTAGTTCTTCCGAGTCGGAGATCTTGATGAAGAGATCTCCGTGTTGTCACCACGTATGCAACGTGGAATGTTCTAGTGCCTCGACACCCGATACCACTTGGCACCTGCTAGTATTCTTCCATCTTCCGATAAAACCACTAAACCTGTAGTATGTCCTGCACGTTCAACACAACCCGCATGCGTAACTATTCCGGATCAAAACCCCGGATTGGCTTGCAACCCAAAACATTAAGATTATGGCTTGCATGCGCATTCGCGACTCTGGATTTGACTTGCACCTCACCATATTACCATTACGACTTGCAAGTCCGATTTCAGCTGCGATCCGATTCCAGCGCTACTTATTATGCCACCAAAAAATTATAGCCGTTTGCAGCGATGGGTCCATCAAGCTAAATGCAGTGGACTAGGTTAGCGATACATGATTCGGGAGGAAAATTAAATTGCAATGGAGAGTGATGGTGCAAAGCAAGCTTTATGACGTACTGGAGTTAGAATACTTTAGGGACTGGACAAACGGCATGACGTACAGCGGGATCAGCGAGTTTGTGGGGGAAAATTCGACAAGAATGCTGCGCCATGGCGCCAGAGTCAGGTTTCAACCGGAAATTGATATGGTTGGGACCTGATAGTGTGGTCGACGCGATGATGCCTCAGAACACGCGATGGACAATGAACGGCTGGGTCCATAGGCGAGTTCAATGGGAAAGATGAGTCTTGAGGATGGGGCTCCTGGGACAATTCCAGGCAGCCCCGTCCACGGTACTCCAATACAGTCAGCACACGGGTAAAAACCAGTGGACAGAAGGCGAGGAGGGTTAGGAAAGACCTAACAAGGCAAAGACACAGAACAATCAGAAATTGTATAGTGAAAAAGGTATCAAAGCTCAAGTGAAGAAGGAAGCAATTCAGACGAATACTAGGCCGGCTCTCTGCTCCCTGACTTCCAGCGTTTCTGGATTTCTCACTTTTGGGAGCTCTTGCTGAGAAATATGGATTACCAGCGGCCCTTGCCAATTCACTTGATGGCTCCTCAGTAAAACCCTTAGCTAACGTTCTTTATCGTGGAATTAAACATGTGTCAAAGAGTAACAAATGCCTCAGGTGTGGATTTCCATATGCGGCCTGTTCATCACTACCTCTTCATCTAGACACTCGGTACTGTGTCTCTGGCGTTCAGCCTGAAGAAGTTATCAATCTGGCCCTTGAATGTTATCAGAGCCAAAATAACACAAAACCGCTCACCATTACCATGCCCTACATGTAATAAAGGCTTCGAAAAGCTATCATTGCCTATTCCAGCACTGTGAAATGGTTGACCGTTGTCAAGAAAAGGTGATTTCGGGATGCCTTGCAAAGTTAAAGAGGTTTCTGTTGCCACAGAGCTATTAAGCTTATTTTAGGTTTAAATTAGTTACACCATCTTCTGGATCGCGCACTATTTCTGGCTAGACATGCATTATCTTATTGTTATTCGATCACAACACCGTTTAAGATACATACTTTCCCACATAAGAAAACGATATCCTGAATTTGTATTGTGGTTTTATACGCTATGCATTATACATCCTCTAACCCCTGCCAGTAGCTTACGTCGGTTTCCTGGCGTCTAAATTAGGTCGTTAGATGGTGATTCGGGGGTCTCCATGTTGATTTCAATCTGTTGACAGAGACTGACCAACCGATCCGAGTCCATTGGCTCTCGTAGGAGCTCTATTTGATCTACATGCTCAAATCTGTAGTTAGGAGAGACGTCATTTCCGCATAAGACGGCCTCGACACTTGGGGAAATCGCCGCAGCGACTTCTCGGATAAAACTACCGCGGTGTTCGTCTAAGACGTCTAGAAAGACGAAAACTACCCCGCTGGATAGTTTTTGAAATCTGCAAGGGGGTCAGTGTATATGCGGAAAGGCAATATAGTGATATACCCATACCTATCTGCCCCAATTCGGAGCTCATCGCTGCATGGGACCAACGCTAGGATTCCAAGCGAAAACCGATCCTGCAGTAGATACCAATTGCGTGCCCAGCTGAGCCGATTCTTTAGCTTTGTGTACTTCCCTATGTACTCTTTCGAATCCTTTGCTTCATTCTTCAAATGCGGATAAAACATAAATAGGAGGTCATGAAAGGCGTTCGAATCTGCCCGGCTTTGGGTATCGGCGCCAATTTGAGGTGGTCCTGTGGATTGGTGTCGATAGGTCTCTTCGCGACGGAGCCGCTCGCCCATAAGCCTAACCAGAAAAAAACGCTTCAGGATGGTACGGCGTGTAGTTGCAGAGTCGAGTGAATCCAAGGCCCTCATTAGCATTTTGCTGTCATTCAAGGTCTCCGTATACCTGTGAGCCTCGTCGTGACGGGCGGATTGACACGCTGCTGCGAGCTCTACGAGCGCCTGAGGGCTGGCGATTGCAAAGAAAGCTTTCTCCAAAAACAGAGCATTGCGACCATCCTTCTCACTAATCTTCTGGATTAGAAGTTGACTTATTCCGCCTGCCGAGGCGGGTGCGGGATTGCTAGACCGTGCAACGGTGTTCGGGTTCGAGGCGCACTCCTGAACCTTTAACCTCCTCCTGGGTTTCGGGCTGCTGTCAGCTAAATAATCGTTAAGTTTACTTTTCTTCGTTTGGTTCAGAAGTTCCAAAGGGCCATCGGAGGTTAATGCTTCCACAGTTCTGGCCCTTGACGCTTTATGATCCTTTGTCGATTCCGAATCATCTACCGAACCAGGGCTTATTGGTGAACCTGCTGCCAGACTCGCGACAGGCGAAGACTGATTCACTTCGGTCAAGGGAGACATGTGGTTCGTGGCAATGGCATCTTGGCCAGTCGTCCAAAATTCAGCGATGTCTCCTACGCGACTGTCAGCCACTTCGAAACCAACACCTTTATCAGCCGAAGTCTCGCCGCACTGGTCACCCAAGGATCTGCTTAGTGAACCAAAATCCATGAGCGCAGGGTCTGGTTCTCCCACGACGGGGAAGAGCATTATGTCGGAAGGTCTACAAGTGGCAGGTTCACCAAGGCACAGATTTGTGCTAGTGATTGGCGCCCCCGTGCCGAGATCATCGTACATAGAAAGAGCGGGGGTGGCATGCTGGCTTTGGCCTCCCTGATCAGCAGCTTGAAAGGGAAATGAAATGGTGCGTTCAGGAGTGTATTGCTCTGCAATACGTTTTAATCCGTTGACAAGTTGCCATAATTGAACACTGATCCAGTCATTCTTGTGCGCTCCCTGGCGGTGAAGTTCCACAACGATGGCCAGTACATGTTTGCAGATAGACTCTGCAAAGCCTGCATTATTGTCATCATCTCCCAAGATATCTGCGGACCACGGTACAACTTGGTGTTCACCGTACTCCATGCTCAGGACCAGGCGATTGGGGTCGCCAAGACTGTAGTTAAGTACCTAACTTCAGGTGGGCCAGAATTAACTATCACGTGAGGACATGAGAAATGTCAGAGTCAACGATGACAAGGGTGTGGCGGTGGGCGATTGTAGGGCAGCTCGAACGAAAGGCCACAGGCCACGCAAAAAAGTGAGGTCACCAGCCTACTTAAAGAGTGTAAACTCTTCCAATAATGTGTTCTTGGATCTTGATCCAATATTGGCTCGCAGCCGAGCTAGTTGCCATGGCCAAACACAAATGGAAGGAACATCCCCATTCCTCTCTTTCTCTATCTCCTTTGGAACTCGATGGACTCCACGGCTATCTTTAGTGTTGTCGCTGGCGGCCTCTTCCTCTCGTTTATACTGATCAGTATTATATTGTGTCTAGCCAGATGGGAGGCTGCCTCTGTGCAAATCTCCAAGCGTCTTACCTACCCTTTTCTGCTTGGCAGGCACCGCTTCGTCGGTCCCTGGACATGGTTTGAATTTCTTGTACACCTTCTCTATATTGCTGCGAACGCTGTCTGCCTCGGAGTGCCGAATGTGTCCGCTCAGAGGGTCAGCCAACGAGCCGGCACTCTTGCCCTGGTGAACATGGCGTTTCTCTTTGCGTGTGTGAACTTGGGCATTTCTGCGGATCTCCTTGGGGTCACACTTCGGACGCGTCGGATGTTCCATCGCGCCACGGGCTGGATGGTAACCGTTCTTTCGGCTGCCCATGCTTGTTCTGTGGCAGACCGGCCAGAATTTCCGTTGCATATTGCGAGCAATCTCTGGGCAGTCATAGTAGGTACGCTTTCGGCATCAATACGCACTTGCTTTTCTGACGGTTTGGATAGGGGATCCTATGTCTAGGAGTTCTTCCACTGCTGTTTCTTCCAGTTTTCCGCAAGCACGCTTATGAGATCTCGCTCCGCACGCATCAGGCGATTGCGTATCTATTCACTTACGCTATCTGGGCCCATCTTCCGCCTAGCTGGCCACTCCCCCGGCTGTATTTGCATGTGGCGGTCGGCGTTCATCTACTGATTTGTTTCCTACAGGTTCTATTTCTCCTCTATCAAAACGGCATCTTCATGTCCCGGGGGCAACCTCGGGCGTTGGTAAGTCTGATCAGGATCCCCGACAGCAGCGCCGGCACTACAGGCCACGATTCCGGCAGCCTCGTTAGCATCCGCGTCACCCTCCCACGGCCAATGAAGGTTTGTGCGGGACAATATATATATTTGTGGATGCTCTCTGCAAGCTGGTGGTCCTGGGCGCAGAGCCATCCCTTCACAATAGTATCTTGGTCGAAGGGTGAGCAGGATGTGCTGGATCTTATCGTTCAGCCTCGCCGCGGATTAACGGCCGACCTACTTCGCCTAGCCGAGTCAAGCCCCGAATCCTCGTTATCGTCCCCAGCGTTCATCAGCGGGCCGCACGGCGTCCGCAAGTCGGTAGGGAAGTATGAGACTGTTCTGCTAGTGGCAAGTGGGCCTGGAATCATAGCTGTGATCCCACATGTGAAACAGCTGATCCACGGCTACAACACCAAAAGTTCTCGGACCCGCCGGGTACATTTTGTTTGGCAGTTGCGCAATTTGGGTAGAGGTTCACCGCTTACATCTTGATGGCCACTATCTAACAGACTCTAGACATTGCGGTTGCGATGCAACAGTGGCTCAACGATTTATTGGCAGAAGATGTCTTAGGCGATGGCTACGTATGTCTAACCAATGATTTACTCACCTCTCCGCTGGGTCTAATCGCAGTGGCAGATCCTCACTATGTCCATCTACCTGGAGGCCGGCAGGATGGCGGAATACAGGCTACTATTCGGGAATCATGAGCGCGCGGTTGTTTACAGCGGCCCGGCAAACTTCCGGAGGATCATCCAGGAGGAGGTGTCTGGCCAGTACATACTGCGGCTTCCTGGCGTTGAGGATGAGCGTGGTGACATGCTAGTTATAGGTAGAGGTGTAATGATGTATTAGGTAATCCGAAATTATACTAACGGGTCAGCTTCGGTTTCCAACGACTTGCGTGACGAGTTGATGAGTATCGCCCACGGCTACTTGCACGAGAAAGTGAGAATGCTACGACTTGAATTTCAACCAGAGTAGCGTTGGCTTAATATGTAAGCACTGATGGTTAGGCATGGTGTGAAGAATTGATGGATGTATCTGTTTGCCATTGGGTCAAAATGGGCTGCTACTAACGATAGAGTTGCATCATTAGCTAATTAGATATAGTTAGGTAAATCAACAATCTCTGAACGTTCGCCTTAAGTGCCCACATTGAGAGAGACCAATAAAGATAGAAGTGAAACTTAAGGATCGCATGATGGAAACAAGTGGTATGCCTACGTGCCGTAGACGCTCCATTATCTATTTTAGGCAAGGCCCAATTTTCGCAGCGCACGTATTTCTCCATATATCTGTCCAATATATAAAGACGTATAGCAAGCTCGCGTAGAAACATTATAGAAACCACCTTCAAAACTCATCATGCCACAGCAATCTACCAACCAGGCAGAGCTGCAGCTAGTGAGCGAGCGTCGCCTTAAATAGTTATCAGGGCACGGCAGAGGTTGACATTGGCCACATTCGTTTTTGACAAGATTCGGATGTGAGCAACAACAAGTTACAACGATTACAGAGGATAAATTACCCACGAAGGCTGCCGTCACCTGGACGCTCCGTACCACGTTCCTTGGCTGAGTTCTCGTCAAGCCCTGGATGACTCACTACGACACGCAGCGACCAGCACTGACGAGAGGGCCATTTATATAACAAAGAGAAAAGAGGTAAGGCTGCAGGGAATGTCCTAAGCCTGTCTTTCAAGGTTACGGAAATGTCATGGCTGCTGCATGGTAGGAGGTTTTGTTTGAGGGCTGGAAGCGCGCGAGCCAAGATATACAAGAAAAGAAAAGAGAGCACCGAGAACAGCACCATAGAAGAAAGGGCGGAAGCGGGTTGCGAAGGGTTGTTCGTTGAAGCTGGAAATTCCGAGACAGAGCAGGACAGAGTACCAGATACAGCCAAAACCCGGGAATCAGCACCAATCTGATGGCATGGCGCAAAGTGACCAACACCCTAGATACGGCCGTGGTTGTAACCGAAAACGGGGTTCTTAGGGTCGCTCTGCTCCTAGTGTTAAAAGGTTCTGAATATCAATTTATTCCCACTCATGTTATCTATTTTTTCCCGTATTTACTGCCTACATACAGTATATGTACTATTTAAAATAATTATCAATTCACTAAGTTCCAGCTTTCAAATATTCTCCAAGGAGTAAACGTGTAAAGTATGTTTCAGATACTACACCGCGATTACAAAAGCATAAAGGCGTACTCCAAGAAGGAAAGAGAGGGCCGATGCATGCCACAGAGTAATTGCATTTTTCCCATAGTCGCAAGAGTATGAGTAACAGAAGAGCAACTATTGCGATAGTCACGATGGAAAAGAGTAGAAAGTTCGAGTAGATATCAGAGCAAGGCGAGCTAGTCCAATCAGCTGGCCTTGGGACCGCCGTTGTTTCGTTATGAGTGGGTGCTGGATAACGGTGAGACGCTGTCTGAAGTAGAATATAGAAATAGAGAAGTTGGACTAACCTGTTTCAATTCATCGATGGACGAAGCTGACGAGGTGGCTATGAGGAAATCGACGGCGGATGAGTCGATTGGCCAGCGGTCCAGGTCATCCACCCCGATCAAACCATCTTCCTTTTCATATTTCTGCATGAGCTCCATTGTGATGATAGACAACGCCTTTATGGATCGCGTTTGAGGTCTATTCGGCGGGATCTTCACGCAGAACTCCAGGGAACCTACAACTTGATCATCAATATAACGAACCAAGCGCGCGTGATCACAATCATACCAATTTTGACGAGCCCATCCAGGCCAAGTAAGATATTAGAGCAAGTCATAGATTCATGCTCGAAGCCGGATGCGGCCAAGTAAGATAGGCCGTCGAGAACCTGTCATCGGTCAGATGGCCTCGGCGATTGCAGCATGGGACAAATATAACCTACTTGTGCAACAATAGAAGCCAACTGGCTCTCACTGGGGTAAGCGCGGCATGCAACTAGTTGCACAAGAGTGAGAGGAAGGTCGTCAACCACGGCATACAGGGTATCTTTGTGCTTATAGCACTCTATAACGGAGATGACGTTTTTATGTTGGATTTTCCCGAACCTCTCCAGCATTTTCTCCGCATCTTTCGTGGCGTATGCACGAATGGGTACAACTCTGGAAGGGCGGGTGCGGTGAACGGCTATGGTAACCGTGCCAGCAAGCTCGCAGGTGAATTCATTGTGAAACGTCTCCCACGGAGACTCTTCCCTGACGATGGGAGGCCGCAGCTCATACTCAACGATCTGGGGGAGGACAAGGTCTTTGGGGGTGCCTTTCAGAAACTTCTTAGAATATACTTGTGCTGGAGGCGCTTTTCTCTTGTTGTTATCCCTCGCCTGGGGGCCACGCAGCGGTTGACGAGAATCATCAGAACGTGCTGGCGGAGCTGGTTCCGGTGGAAATGATAGTTGAGATTCTAGTCGTGTAAGATCAAGCACGGTTGTGCGCTTATCCGGATTCGCGGGCATAACTCACTACTGTAGCAGAAGCTATGAGGGTGTAGTAAAGAAAGTGCGAGGTCAGGAGTTAGTATTAATATAAAGAGAGCGACGAAGGAGCCTGAAACAGCCTTTTAGTGACGACATAGGCTAACAGGCATTCGCCCGCCCATTCTGTCGGTAAGGGGCCACGCTTTTTCCGGCATGTTCCACGTAGAAGAGTCGGTACATAATGGTCTGTTACAGGCCTGGCAGGAAGGGCATAGTTACTCCTCCGCTTCCACGTTTTCATTAAACTGTAGCCCTCATTTACTCGAACCATGGAGCGATCCATGTTCACCAATACGGAACTGCAGTTGGCCTCCGAGCAAAATGCGAAATATCAAGGAACCGCCAAAATCAGCTTAAACCAAATCACCTTACATCCGTCTCTTGTCCGCGAGTTCGACGCTCGAAAGGTGCATCGACTGTGCAAAATCTTCAAAAAGGATGGCTGTCGACGATTAGACATCCAGCACCATGTGACCGCTACTGTGTCACGGCGTCATCTGGACGCTGCTCTCAGCAAGGCACGGGTGAGCGCCCAGGAGCTAATGACTAATCCTCCAGACCGGTATCCGCACCTTCAGTTCTCTGCCGAAGAGGTACGCTGTCTCCATGGCCAACATCGTCTGAAGGCGGGCGGGGAATTACTCTCGCCCAGCGATCAGTGGTGGACGGTCGACCTCTATCTAGACGGTATGTCTACATATGCATTCCCGCCAACCATTGCCGCGCTCCGCGCTGACTGCCCAGCACAGATATAAGCTCCGGCCTGCAGACCTCTCTTATCGATGAGTATTCCAACGCCAGGCCACCAAGCGATGGCGAGGTCTACAGGAAAGTCCGCCAGTATCAGCATGAAGCTAATTCTCGCTTCGAGGAGCGCTGGATTTCGCGACTGTCGGCAAATAAAGTGAAGCGACTGCGCCAGCTTAATTCCCACACACACGTACGTGCTGCGTTCGACGCGATGCTGGCGATCCCTGGGCTGTGGGGCGGACTGCATATCGGCTCCTTCGCCCGAGTACTGGCTCTCAACTGTGACGAGGTCGGTGCTCCCTTTCCCGGCCTCACGTCTATCGATTGCTAATGATTGTAGGAAATCGTTAATTATCTGACGTTCGTTAAAGAATTCTGGGCGTCTCTGGTGGGAAATGATCGCGAGCGGATGATAAGAATTGACCTACAAACGGTGGAGAGCCTACAGCTTCTGGCCCCCGGGGTTTCCCGGAAGGATGTAAAGACCGCCCGGGGCCGCGTGCTCAGCGGTGAAGCCTTCGGCGACTTCAGCGACTCTGAACGTAGGGCTATCTGGGAGAATCTGCAGGGGAGGAAAGAAATCATCCCGTCGCTCCATACATTTTTCCAGGACATCTACTATCTTGAAGCGTGCGCCAACTGCCTGAAGCGGCTGGTTGCTGTCAGCAAATTTTATCCCACTCTTCGAAGGGCCTTTGGAAGCATCCTTCAGACTGACCCCGAGGCCGTGGACTATATGATTCAGACATCGGAAACCGGCCAGCGGCGATCAGGCTCCCTAACTGACCGGGAAGAGCTTAGCTATCGGCAGCTTTGGTTGTACGCCATGCGCCATTACCGAAAAATGCCTAAGGAGCCTGGGAGCGACGATCTGCTAGCGAAATCCAGCCATGAGAAAGCCGACGAGGGTGCACTGTACGAAATGGCTGCCTTCGCACAAAGTCTCGGTTTCAGCTCGGATGAAATCAAAGCGCTCATCAAGCTATCTCCCGACCGCCAGGTCGCTCGAGCAGTCCTGCTGAAAGCAAGGGATCCAGAGCGATTTCAATATGATAGCGGGATATTTGAATCCCTCGTCAATCGCATAGTGGCATGTTTCTCTTATGCCGCCCCCATCGAGTGCCGGTCGTCCCCGGATTCCTCCTCCGGCAGCGAGACGCCACTAAGGGCTCGGTGCGGACTTCCACACTCTAAATCTCAGAAGCATGACCGCCAGTTTCTTTTTGTCGACCAGGTGCATACAGAAGATATGCCGGCAGGGGAGAAGGTCTCCACGCTGCTTGTGAGGCGATGCGTCTACTTTGCCTTCTTTGGCAAGCCACGCCATCAGGCTCGGGTTGGAAGTAGTCCTCCGGGGGGAACTACTTCAACTATGCCCATGTCACCGCTCTTTGTGCCTGAGGTTGGCCCTCTCGTAGAAAGTAGGCCAACGGCAGAGAGAGCTCTGCCCAGTGGTGGTGTAGAGGAAAGTGAGAGCAAGCGTCTCCGCAGAGCGGCACGCCGCGAACGGCGTCGCAGAAAGGAAGAAAAAGAGCGCCGCCGACAGGAACGAAGACGTCACACAACGACGGAGATTGGTCTTACAGGCGGAGAGACGAGCGACAATATTAAAGTGCCCCTTGAATATCCTCCTCCGTTAGAAGAAATCAATCACTTTGGCACTAGCGCGCCGGATTCAATGCAGCTAGTAGAGGAAGAGCTGCTTCAGCCTCAACATGATGCGGGGGAAGCAAAAAAACCTGGAGACCAGCAGACCGAGGAAGATGAAGCCATGGCTGAAGACACCGAGACAGAGAGGCTTAGATGGGAGGTTGAGGAGCATGAGATAGATGGGTCATCGGCGCAAGAGCAGTTGATGATGGATGCCGAAGAATTGGCTGCCGATGAGACGGGCCACCGAGTGGAGACGGTTGCTGCTGAGGAGCTGCGGCTTGCACAAAAGGAAGCTGAAAAGGAACAAACTCGCCAGGAAGCCGAAGAAAGAGCAGCCGCACAACGTGCCGCCGAAGATCTGCGGCTTCAGAAGGAGGCTTCAGAGGCTGCAAAGCCGCGGCCTTGGCAAGCAGCTGCATCTGCAGCCGAGGAGGCAGGAGACACCGTTAAAACAGCCGAAAGTAGACACGCGGCTGGAGAGACGAGACCTCCACATAGGGTGGAAGAAACAACCCGTTTCGACAAGGATGCAGAGGCAGAACAGCAGAGGCGAGAGGAAGAGGGAGAGGCTCCTAACCCGGTATCTGAAACTGCTACCCTCACCAGGCCTGTTGGAGACGCAGAATCTGTTAAAAAACGAACCCCTCGACCAACCACGCAGTTTGACCTTGCACCATTAATTTTCAGTGCAGAAGATGGCTCTAGCTATACGAGCAGACAGCGAGTCTCAACGGCCCATGCTCAGCCAAGTAAGTGGAGGCCTGGAGGGCCCCAGCAGGCACCGTGGGGGTTAGGACCCGTAAATGAAATCGCCGTCGTCGAATCCAGAGCAGTAACAATCATCTTTAAAGCCCGTGAACAGGGCATGTGGGTCGACGCGTACAAGATGACCATCGACCCGTCAAACCCATCCGATCGGTTGCGTGTTGAGCGAACAGCCAAGAAAGATGCGCGAAACCGACACGCGACCTTCTATGACAAGGACTTCAAGCTGATCGCCCCTGTGCAGTGCTTGGATGCGGCGATCAAAGATGGCACGAACACCGTCTTCATGGTATTTGGTGGGGAGTTGAAGGTCGATGAGAACATAGTGGCGTCTGCATCTCAGGCGTTGGGCATTCGAAAGCGGCAGAAATCTAGAGCATGCGAGGACCCAAGGCTCGAGAATCAACCAGCGGAGGAAGAGGATGAGCTATAAAAAAATATTGTCCCAAGTGGCATGCATTCCTGTGTCTCCATGGGGCCAAGGCGATCGGACCCAAAGCCGGCCCCGTCTGCGGGCTAGCATGGCCGAGAGTCCGCATTCTTTTAGCCTGACAGGTCCGAGGTCCACGGACCATGGACCGCTACAGCCCAACGACCCCAGCCTCCTGCTTGCGGATCGAGGCCACGGGAGGCCCCCAGTCGCCCGGCCTCGGTCCCTGTGCCAGAGACCGGTCCGGGCTTTGGACCCGGGCCCTGTACCTATAGGTGCCCTGGGAAAGCTGACTTATTTCCATGATAGGTATTGGGCCACTTGGGCCATAAGCCCTCGTTCCCGGGCCCCATCTGGGCCAAGGACTGGCGCGCCACCTAAGGCTTTTAACGAGTCATAGTAGTAACTAGCATATAAATACATAAATGAATAAAATAAAATACATTGCACGGGCTGAAGACGACCTCAACCAGCCTATTTCCCAAAGATGAGGTTTTGGGGCCAGGTGATCATCTTCCGGCGTTGATTTCCATCTGCCAGAGCATGACTTGTGTCAATCTATCTGACGCCCATCGTATTGACGGTGAGTTGGTGGGTGTGGTTCTACCCTGAAAAGAGGGCTATCAGGTCAATTTGTCTCTTCTCTCGAGCCAAATCTTGAGGAGGGAGGAGCTTGTTGGTCAACATCGAGTCGGGGATGGTCTATGTTTCCCTTTCCCTTATCTTCAACTCATCTTTCTTCATTAAACTTTTCACTCTGGCGATTTTGCTTCTGCTCAGCTTTCCTAGTATTCGCTCTATCCAATTCACGCCTAGAATATTGCATCCACCAGGCTAGACTAAGGGTGCATTGTGATTTACACCGCGCGGCGATATCCTATGGAGTCCTAAATTGGATATACAACGACAATACCCCTGAAGCAGTTTTAATCTCACTTGGCTGGAAGAACTTGTCCCAAACTCACCTTCCGCAAGTTGGAGCCTGCGTTCACTATTTGCGAGACCGGATCGTCGATGGCTGTGATGGCAATGACCCAACCAACCCAATGAATTGGAAGGGCGGTGGCTATTTGAAAGTCGACCAATATGAATATACAATTGACCCTACAGCCAACTGCTGGGTCCAAAGCAGCCACAGGCTTTATGCAAAATAACACCCCAGGCCAACTACACCTCAGTGCGTATGTGGGGGGGGGG